AGGAAAAATCCTTACTGAATTTTTCTGCTGATGATCTGTACAGGAGGTCTGTCAAGTAACCCTTCCACATCCTTGGTCCTTCCCTGCCCACCTATTTCAGTGGAGTATCTACCCCAGGAGAGAGCCATGTCCCTCAGTAAGAGTTCTTGTATCTTACAGCAGCCAGGCACAGGAGACAATCCTCACACACAACAACTGCACAAGGGCTGGGGTGAGCCATGCTCTCTCCCCAAACTAGCATTTTGTCTATTTTTGTCCGACTAGCAGAGTCAGCACTTTAGGAATGCCTACGTAATAGTTATATTTGTCTGATCCCTCGAGGTTATGTCCGCAAGCTTAATCCACATACTTAAATTTGACACAAGTTGACGCTGACAGGTCTTTATGACAAAAAGCACTAAGTGACTGTCCTCAGTCACTTCATATGCTCTTTGACATATGAAAGTATCTTTAATATGCTGCTGTTAACACAGGCAGATATCATACCTGTATCCATGATGGTGCAGCCATAGTCTTGGTTTCCTTTTCAGGTAAATGGGGGATAAGTCCTTTGGTCAGAGTGGGTGAGATCCTGAATCTCTTGGTTATTCTTCACTGGGTTGTAAGTGATCTTATATATATGTATATAACTGCAGGGAGAAATTAGTGGAGGAGACTTTTCTCCTCCTTCCTGTGAGTGCCCCAGGCCAGTGATGGTGAAATGCTATCTTTGGGCCTTCTGCAAGCCCCGACTTCATGCTCAAGGCCATTTCCTTTAGCTAAGGGAAAAAACATGAAAAGAACAACCCAATACTCATTTTCCAAAATCATTGGAAGTTCCTAAACCTACCCAAAATGAACCTGGTCATGAGCAGAGCACTGCAAGATGAGAAGGGTTATCCAGGCAGACCTCATTCCCAGTATGCTTGTTGATAAGCTGTAGTTCTTGAATGATCTGAACTGCAAGTCTCCAAGATGCTTTACATCCAGCACAGTAGTAGGGTAGGACTTGGAGACTGTTTTAGAACTGTCAACATGCCTCATTATGATCACACTTCAGTGTGAAAATTAATATATATGATGTCAGGGAGTTTCCATGCTTGGTGCTGTCAGAGAAGCCAGTGGAAGTGGGAATTCAGAGCCCTTGAAAACTGGCCACCACACGCAAACCGACATCTGTATGTCAGTTCCCTGCCAAAGCTTCTTGTGGCTATTGCAGGTCAGATGTCACTGCAACTAGACCTAAAATGGAATTGAAATCCTAAATAATGATGGTCCCACTTTAACATGGTTCTTAAGCATTTCCATAACTTTAGGACATTGATAATCTCATGGAAATTTTAAGCTTAGTTATCTGTATACATAGCGAGGGATTTTAAGTCTTATTTTATCTGAAAAACTGAACAAAGTAAATGTGAAATAGTGATGGAAAATTGTTTGTAATGGGTCAAATTGCATCTCCTGCTGATTTTCAAGAGTGTATGTGCGCATGTATAACTATAAATCACAAATAAAAATGTCTTGGCTCTTAGTGCTCATATCCTATGTCAAACTGGATCCTGAATGCATCTCATGACATGGATGAGGCATGAAAGCATTTCTGGAGATGTTATCTAAGTGGCAGTTGTGCTTTCCCTTTATTTGCTAACTACACTTCTTAATATACTCTGAGTAGCCATGTAAAGAGGACTGTTATGTTAATTCCTGTTCTTTCTGAAGAATTACATAGACCCAGACGGGTTACAAGTTTCACTACCAATGACTAACCCAAGGTCTGTGTTCCGCATGGCACAACCCACTGGACGTGCAACATTCTCAGCTTCTCAAACAAAAAACTGTAAAGAAGAGATCTTTGTTGTCTTAGAAGCTTCAAGGCACAAATTAACTTTAGTTGTTCGATAGAAGGTCCAGTGAACACAGTGGTATCAGTTCAGTGGTAACTGGATCTTCAATAACCTTTTTTCCCCATAACTCAAGAGGCATCATTGCAACCCAGTGAACAACACTTCTTCTCCAAAGGGACTGAGGATTGTGTGCTGGAGGCAACACTTTCTCCACCACCAGCCCCCCTGACAATGCCTCAACAGAGCACCATATTAGGCAACAGGCTGTCAGGAATGGCATCTGGGGACTCCAGTGATCATGCCTCCTAGGGAAGGAGCACAACCATAAGCTGCTGGTTGAGTGTACAGAGCCCTTTCCTGGCTGACAAGCCTGTTGCAGAGGTCAGCCAGAGAGGGCTATCATTCTTTGGGGAAGTGGAAACCACTCGGTGCTATTAATGGTTTTTTTCCTGGCTGTCCTCAGGAATGGAGCTGTAAGCCAAGCATGACCATGAAAGGGGTTGCACATGGCCAAAAGATTATGTTGAAGTATCTCCCATGTCTCTGTCACACCCAGTGCCTGGAACTCTCCCCTTTCTTTTTCTTCCCACAGTATACTTCAAGTCTCTCCCTTGAGCTCAGTTCTTTCCTTGGTTTTCTTAGCAATAGTCCAAACAACCTAGAATTATGGTTTAGAAAAGAAACCACTGACTTCTTGACTTGGCTTCAGGTCATTATCCCATCACAGAATTACAGAGTAGCTGAGGTTGGAAAAGACCTTTAGACATTGTCTAGTCCAACCTCCCTTCTAGGAACAGGGTCAACTCTAGGCAGTTGCCCTTGAGAGTATTCAGGTTTCGAATATCTCCTTTTGTGTCTGCATGTATAAGATGAAGTTTATAATAATAGTGTTTCAGGTCTGGTTTGTGCTGTAGCCTAACATTTGTGCCTACTGCTGGGTAAGGCAGGACTTGAAAGATGTGTTATTTCTGAGCAACGTTACTGTGTTGGTGTAGCCATGAAATACCTCTCAAAATGAAAGAAAAATTCTAGGCAAGTCCCTCAAAAGTCTCGTAAGTTTTTCATCTTAGTCTGGAAAGTGCTTTATTTGTTGAGCTTTTGTTTATACTGGTGAACCAGGGAGAATTTTCTAATTCAGTGTTCGTAAGAATACTTCATAAGGAAAATGATACAGTCAGTAATTTTCTGCTATTACTTTTCCATGAAATAAATATACTTCCATGCCATAGAGTTGTTATTTTATTCTCAGTGGAAGTAGTGAAATGTCATGGTAGCAATGTGAATATGTTCCAAGGCATACTTTTTGTTTTATAATTTTCATATTTTCATATGAAAATTATTCATATTTTTCTAGGCCACAAAACAGAATGTAGTATGTTAGTAACTAGACCAGAAAAAACAAATTGCTATGAACCTAAGATATTGTACTGTTTTCACACTCTGTGTGTTGGTCTTTACTATACTTCTGCCATCACATTCTGTGTGATGGGTGCAGTGACCAGAATGTACAACATGAGCTCTTTCCCTGTAGCGAGGGTTTCTCTTTGGAACCTCTACAAAGATTTGCTATCATATCTGTGTATGTGACTGGAAGTTCCTAAACCATATCAAATTCACACACTCAACATATATTTGCACTAAAAATATTCTTCCCTTTTAAATATTAAATGGATTTATTAAGAATGAGAGAGTATGTTTTAGTTATATCTAGACCTGAGTGCAGAGGAATAGTCTTACCCCCATTTCTGTGTGACAGAGATTGAAACTTTATTTCCTGAATATGACCTGAGGTGGGGTCCCAAATGTTAATACCCATAACATGACAAAGGTTAGTAAGAACCATCTACTGTTACAGTTAAAGACTTCAACTTTTTAAATCTTTGCTTGTTGTAAGTAGTTAAACTGTAAGTCAATGAACCAGTTCCAATAAACATTGCTGGTTTCAACCAGTCTAGAGTCCCAAAGCTTTGAAATGTTTAAAAGTTTTTAAATAATCTTCCTGTAATGTTTTAAAAATAAGTTTTAGCTAGTCAAGTTGTTCTTATCTTTTAGATGGGAATACATGTCGTCCCAAATGGATAATATTTAAATAGGATAAAAAGCCTAGTTTCTTTATCACACATCTGAACGGGAAGTGATTTAGATTAAAAACCATGACTGAAAGAAAGAAACCCCAAACATACTGTAGGTCCTACTCAGAGCAGATAAACTGATTTTTTACTTTCTGCTTGCACTGAACATTGATCTCTAGATCTGATGGTTTGGTGAAAATGAGATAAAGGTCTCTGGATTCGCTCTGTATGATCCTCCTAAGTTAATGGATCAATTACACTTCACCATTAAAGTCATATCAGATATTATATCAGTGGAAATTTTGCTTAAACATAAGGTATTATCTGACAGAAGAATATTGATGTGGTAAGTTATACCTTTAAGCATAGGTTCAAGCCAAATTGACTTCAAATCCAAGCTTGAAATTCAACTTGGATTCCATGATATTCCAAAACTGTCCAAAACTATAATTGCCAAAAGGTCCTTGAAGTGTACTGGGGCCCAATTGATAAAAATACATGCAGGAAGCTGACCTGCAATCAAGGAGAGACCTTACCACTCTCTACAATTACATGAAAGTTATACCTGAAAGGAAGTTGTAGACAGGTAGGGGTTGACTTCTTCTGCCAAGTAACAAGTGATAGCACAAGAGGAAATTGCCTCAAATTGCATCAGGGAGGCTGAGATTGGATATTAGGAACAATATCTTCACTGAAAGGGTTGTCAAGCACTGGAACAGGAAGTGGAGTCAGCACCCCTGGAGGTATTTAAGAGAAGTGTAGATGAGGTGCTTGGGGTCATGGTCTAGTGGTGACTTGTCAGGGCTGGGTTAATGGTTGGACTCGAAGACCTTAAAAAATTTTATGATTCTATGAATATTATATATCTCCGTACTGAAAAAGTTTCTTGACCTATCTTCACAGAGCATGAGCTTTAGACAACTGACCTTGTCACTCTGAAGTTGTCATCTGTTGCATGCATGAAAGCAAAAAAAATATTGACAACTGCATGAAAATATGAGATGAACTCAAACTATGTCCAAAGTAAACAAATGCATATCAAATGTGTGAAAAATATTTGCTTTTATTTGAAGCTCAATATCTGTCTTCTTTCCTCATTTTTCAGAAACTGAAAATGAAAGTGCACCGCCACCTCCAGGTTAGTGAAAAAAACACTAATTTGAGCTGTAACATGAGCAACAGTTGCATTAGACTAGATACTGCATGGCCATAATATAATTTGTGTTCATTATCCCTTTGAAAGTAAGAGGACAGTAAGAAAAGTAAGAAAGCCTGCCCAAGTAAGATGTTCTCACTTTGCTGGAATGTTGATTTTTTCAGACTCAATTTTTGTTTGCAAAAGACCAGTTGTTTGCTTCATATTGCACTTGTCCTTCAGGCTACAGGTGAATGATGACTGTTATATTCTGTGGCTAAATCATGCTGTCTTCTTGGATGCTGGACAGCATTTAATTACCAAAATATTCCCTTTCATTTCTCCTCAAAGGTACACTGTGAGTCAAGTTGACAGAATCAAGCATGGGATTCATTTCACTTAGTTTTAGCCATTTGAAAATTAAGTATCTTTTCTAAGTAATTCAATAGTGCTCCACCTATGACCAGTGGAGCAGATCCTGGGTCATAAATGCTCACCAATGGGCATTTCCTGGATAACCTATTGAAAATGTCACAGGAGCCTGATTGTCTAGAACGGAGTGGGTGAGTAACTTCCAGGAAAACAAAGTTAGGTGACCTGAAACTTGCTCATAAGGACTAGAGCTTCAGGTAAAGCTGAAGCTCTGTGAAAAGCTGCTACATTCTCTTTAGTGGGAGCAGGAAAGCTAGGGAAGCCTTTGCCTTGTGGCATTGAGTAACTTGAGTTATATTGACAGATACTTGTTAATATATATATATACATTATGCATGTTTAATTTAACCATTTTGTGAGTTTTATTCTTTCTCTAGCTAGATAAACGGCAATTCCAAACAGAACAAATACTCTACAGGTGTTAAACTTCATTTACTTACACTCTTGTTAGCTGGCATTTTAAGAGGCTGGTTGAAGACGTTTTGTTTCAACAATACATGTTTTAATAAAAAAATTACAAAGGTAGTAGTATTATCATCTGACACAAAGAGTTTCATGTTTAAATGATCCATGTATTATTTTTATGTGATGAACTCTTTCATATTGCATGTATTCGTAAAGAAAGTTAATTGATATTTCATTAATGATGGTTATATTTAACTCAGTTGTAAAATTTGTACAGTTAATATTAAAGTAATTAATTTCACACTGAGGCTCTTACCTGTTGTACTTGAATTCATGCTTTCCATCAATCTTAACTTTGAAGTAGAACTGAAATGAGAAACAGTTTTTTTGTATACAGAAAGGTACAGCATCTTTGAAGGATTACATTAAAAACATCTATTAACATAGTCAAATAATTAACATCTTTCTTTCTACTTAAAAACACAGGATTAAATGCAAAATCATTTATATAAACCCCTTTCTTTTCCTCATACCTTTACTTCTTTGCTAAAGTAAGTAAGGTGTCAGCAGGCCTTTTTGGTCAGGCACAGACCAAACTGGGATACTTCTAAGCTGGAAGTGCCAGTCATTTCTAGCTTCCTTCTGCCTGACTCAAGATGCTGTCATCTTGGATTACCGAGTGCTATCACACAAAGAGAAGTTAGTTATTCAAGAATCCAAATTCTGTAACATATAAATAGTTTATTGGACCTAATCAGTGTCTTGAACTGCACCCATTTACAATGGGAAGCCCTTGAAAGTGCTCCTTCCAGATCTCAATGTCAAGCCATGGGACTGGAATAACTAGAACTGGTGAAGTTTTCAGATGGGATGTAGACATCCTACCACATGCCAAGAACAGTGAGTTCTCCTAATCCCAGTTCCTGGTGGGAAAAGCAAGTGTTACTGTAGCAAAAGTCCCATTAAAAAGGAACAGGTTTGGCCATCTAGGCAAGGTGGACAACCTGACAACTGGAGCTTGGAAATTTAGGGAATATGGACAGAAGCATCATGTCTGTCACAGAAGTCTGTCACACTTTCAGAATGTGGATTTGCCTTCTAAACTTCAAATTTTATTTTCATAGTTACCATGGCTACACACATGTGAACAAGAAATTAGGGTAATCACAATACCAGATGGCTCTTGCCAATGTTTCCTCCATGGAATAAAAATTATCTTAGCTTCATCTTGACAGTGTTAGTCCATTGACCATCACCCAAACCCATGTTTTATCAGGCAGCTGACAGGTAAGTTTGCTACAGGAAATCATTGTTTACAGCCAATAGAATATTGAGTGTTTATACTTTGAAGACAGCACACTTCATAGGATTTCACAAGATTCTAGATGACCTTGTATGCAAATTGAATGAGGTAGGAAACCAAAGAGAAGAGGAATCCTGCCAAATCCTGAAATAGAGAAAGTGTAGAAATTTTTATCTTGTTGAAAGTACAGTCCAAGTTTTCTCATACATCTGAGCTCAAACATAAATCAGTTCACCTACTCGGAGTAGAAGGACAGGCTGGCAATTCTTCTGATTCAGAAAACTAAATACAAATAGTCCAAGAAAGACTGTTGATAATGATGATGACGATAAAGAATTAAGAAAACCTTCAACACACTCTCTCTGTGCTTTGTCTTTAGGACAAACTGATTAGTCTAATGGAGCTCTGGACACCATTAGTAGTTGGCAGTATCTCATGTCTGATCAAATTCCTTTCAAATTAACAGTGATATGTAACTCATTTCAAAATCTTTTGCAAATAAGTTCAAGAACAAGAGACTAACAATTGTTACTTCTAAAAACCCTAGTATTTTTCTTCCACTGAATCCAGGAACATCAGTCTTACATGACTAGTTCAAAACATAGAAATTGCATTGATAAATGTAATTAAAAAATGCTTTAGGGGTTTACAACTGTTTATTACTTACACACATATACCAGTCATTCTTTAGTGTTTTTTCAGTACTAGCAGAATGTAGAATATGACTGCATTTTTTAATGCTGTGTAAGTTTTTCTTTTTACTTTAAGATCCTCTCAAAAATATACTTGTACTTCCTACACAGAACAAACAACACCACAGGAGGGTGGAAATGAAAAGAGTAAAGGTAAGTCTGAAATCATATTTTAAAAATTGGCAGTAAAGGCAACATTCCAAAATACAATTCTGAGGCTGAATTGCTTGAGCTTTAATTCAGAATTTTGATGTTGCATTTCAGAAGTGTGATGTGAAGCTCCCTAGATCCTTTTCGTGCATGACTTAGCCAGCACAAGGAAATCACGATACTTATGAATATTTTCAAAAATTCTGCAAACCAGACCGTCACCTTGGCAACAGTATTTATATAGATTGTTTAATTAATGGATGGAATTACAAGTGATTTGCATGAGCAGAAAGACACCTTTAAACAAGCCTGGATGTTGCCACTGACCAAGCTTGCTTAAACTCAGATGCTGTGCTCACTGGTAGCTTTTAAATAAAGTGGACAGTCTCCTGCTGTCATTTTAAGCTGTTTCTGTTCTACCACAGAAACTTGATATTGCCTGTTTTACTTTTCAAAAAGCCCTATAGATTTTTTCATCTGAAAACAGAAATCACACATTCATCTTTCTATCCTCACCAGGAACCCAGCACCTGAGCTCATTGCAGGTTCTGAAAAATGTCTTTGAGGGTTGTTGGCTGTGAACAAACAGATAACTGTTCCACTAGCAATGCATGTAAAAATCAGCTCCAGTTTTACTATATATTGTTGTGCTGCTAAGATTAGACTCCAGTTCTGTTGCCATTTCTTCTGGTTACTAAGAGACTTTTTTTTGCAGAAATTGGGCCAAATTCCCCTTGTTTTTGTAGGACCCCTGCCGAAGTAGAAATCATACACCCCATCAGCTTAATTTTGAAATTAATGATCTTTTTATTTTCTTTCATTCTGATAAAAGGATAAACCAGACCAAGATATACTTACAACCGATGCAATGCTTGCTTTTCATTTGGCACGGTTATGCTTCCTCATGGCAAATCAATAAATGGCTTGCTTGAAAAGAGGTTCTGGCTTTTGGTCTCTTCCAGACAAAATCTTGTCTTTTAGACAGACTGGATGCCTACTTGATACTTGCAGATTCATTCAGCAAAGGCATGCATGGCAGTTTTTCTCACTAAAGTAAAAATATAAACACTGGGAGTGTGTGGTTCAAGTACCCTTTTGAAAATAAAAATGCTGAACCAAGATTCAGTGCATGTTATTTCACCAGTCGTCTTTGCATTGAGCAATTATTTTGACACACAAAGTATTGTGTGAGTAATCACATCTGTCATCTTGGTAATGGAAACTCAATTCAGGAATAATTTGCATGCTTAATGATAGGAAAAAAAGATGAAAGTCTTGCCTCAAGCTATTCCAGCAGTTAGTTCTGCTTGCTTTAATATTGACATGAGAGAAATGTTTGCTTCCAAACTGAACATGGATGGCGTTTCCCCACTGCTCATAAGCCTACGTTTTACTGAATAAAAAAGAAAACATGGTAGGTAACTTATCAAATACTTCTATTACCTTCTGCATTATTGTGTTTCTGGTTTGAAATTAGTGAAGGACACAAGTATTTCCTAAGAGGAAAAATGTTCCTCCTAAGAGGAACCATTTGGTGCTAGGAGGATTTTACTACCAAAAAAAAATTGTTTGGGATCCTAGTATGGAAAGTGTTTCCTATTTCAGACCATGGTGGCAGCTGCTGCCTCAGTAAAAATTCCAGTGAAACTCTGAATACTAGTATGTAGATGACCTTCTGCCACGCTCCAGTGAAACTGTCACCTCTGCAAAGCAATGCAGATGTCATTGCCAGACACTCAGTAGTAACTTTTTGGAAAAAGTTAGTAATAGTGCAATTGTTCCTATTAGCTCCTCTTTTGTTGTAAAGTATCACTTAGTAAGGAAAAGGATATTTTCTTAGAGTGATTTCTTCATGTTGGTCTGCCAGAAGAAAATCTTTTTAATGGTGAGCATAATTCACAAAATGGGAAAAGGTTCCATTCTTCCAATCTGTCCAAAATCATACACACATCTAGGAAAGAAAACTTGGTAGTCCATGTAAATCCCATAGCCCATAATCTTCACCTCATTAGTAAGAAGAGTATAACTGTCTGTGTGTCTGGTTTGCTGTTCTATTTCTTTTTGGTAGTTACTGTCTGTGTGAAGTTACAAATATGTGTTCCTTTATATTCACTGTGAAGTTAAGAAATGGCAAAGAGTGCAACAAATTCTTTGTGTCTTGTGGTTATTTCACTATAAATTAGTAGCTCAGAGCAGTAGACATAAAATTTTCTTTCATAGAATAAACTAGTTAAAAAATAACTGAAATAATGTTATAAAAATTCAGGATTATATGATCATCCATTTCATTTTCAGAGAAAAAAAGTGACTCAGCAGAAATCCCTCCAAATTTACTACATTATCTTATATTCATTGAATTAAAATGTTTATGCCTTTGTTTTGAATTTTAACATTATCTTACAGATTGAATATTGTTTTTATTTTGTTCCCACTGGCTGGAATTATAATAGAACTTTAATATCAATTTGCTCATTCCTTTTTTTTTAGGTCCCATCCAGACATTCAAAGAGCTACTAAAATTTCTGCATGCTTTACTGATACCTTTTCTCTAGGTTTCATCCAACCATCTACTAAAATGTTTGCATGCGTCACCCTTGTATTTTTCCAGGTTGCACTTATCCATCCATCTCTTTACTAAAACTTCCATTGCTGTATGTATGAACTTCATTTACCATTTTCAAAATACCAAGTCCCCTTGATGGGACTGCTGAGTAATCTTTGAAAATCAGATGGGTAATTGCAGTTGACTAAATTTCAAGCTCTCAGTCTTACTGTTCTCAGTAATTTCAGCACGAACCAAAATTATTCAGTTTATATACAGATCAGTAATTTTTTCTGTCAGATTTTTCCATTTTATGTGTCAGAAATTTATGTGTCAGAAATTAGTGTTCAGAAATTTTAATATTGAGGTTCCACTAACTGGGAGTATAAAAATGTTTTACATTAGGTACTTCTGAGATATGGAGAGTTCTTTTGTCTAACCAGACTCCTAATGAAGCTCAGCCTTGTCCTCAGTTAATGTTATCATTTAGATACAAGGAAAAAAACATAAATATCCTATTTGTCAATGAAAATGTACCACAGACAAAGAATAAAGCTCTCTATAGAGTAATACATCTTATCAACCTGTTATGTATGACCCTGGGCATACAACAGATTACTAACTAACAGATTTATCTCCATCAAAAGTTTACTTGCTGAAGATAAGGATAGTGAATTAATGATCATAGTCCTACTGGGAGGTTTGATATTTTTGGTAATTTTTTTATCTTGAAATATAATTCCTTGCCAACATAAACAATCATTCATCACATAAAGCAAATTGGTTATAGCAGTTTAACCAGTAGTTGGTCCATTTTGTCCTAGAAGCCTGAGATATAAGGAGTGATGGATTGTTAATTACCCATTTGTCAAAACAACCCAATTGTTTTCATACTCTTTCCATTTCTAACACAGTCAATTGTGCTTTCATTTTGATACTTCTGAAAGGTTTGTTTGGTTTGGTTTGGTTGTCTTTGATGTTAACATCTTGTTCGAAAAATTATAGATTACCCTGGAGAAACCCAGCAATCTCTCTGCAAAACTACTAATATGCTTTTGTTTTTTAGTTTTTAATTATTTTAATTTAAATAATTAAATCAAAATCAGAGTGGTCCTTTTATAACATGATTCTGATACATCATCATGTAGGATGCATCACATCAAATGTTTCATGCCGATTTTAATTTTTTTTTCCAGCCAGATGGCTCTTCGAACCATCATCAATCAAAATGGTGACATTATTGACAAAAAGAGATGAAAGTACACTTTATGCTCTCATGATATATGGAGAAAGATTTGCAGTGGAATTATGAATCTTGTATTCATTTAGTTGCTAGCACAGTATGTTAAAACATCTGACATGACTTTGTCATTATTGTGCTTTCACTGAAAATCAACATCTTCAGCATCTGCTTATGGCATTGGATGATGCAGGTCATGAGAACTCTTCCATTAAAAGAATTTGGGTTTTTTTGCTAAGAATAAGAAGAGATTTTTCTAAGATAACACATTAATTCTTCATGTGCAGGCATACCTTTTACAACTCTCATCCTCCTCCTAAGAGATTTCTAAAATGAAGTTTGATGAATCATTAAAAAAGGAATGGGTAAAAAATTACGATTGAGTACTTAAATTGTATTAACAGACTTTCAATTAACCTTCAATGTTTTAAAAAAACTCAAAAATCAATATCACCAGTGTTTATAATAAAGTGCAACTATACTTTATCTATGCTTTTGTTATAGTTGCTACATTTGTCCATGAGAAAATATAGACAAATTATAGCTTTAAGGTAAAAATGAAAGGATAACTCCAGATTTAAATTTAGATTATGGAAACCCGAATCAAAAATCTAAAAAAACCCGACTCCCAAAAAAGTACCTTTAAATATGAGGGTGAATATTTTTCCAAGGTCATTCTTGTTCAACTCTCTTCTCTATTTTGAAATGTTCTTCAGATTATTTTCTGGTACTGTATTAAAAACATATTATCTTACATATGCATTAAATCCTAAATATATCTAGTTTATTCTTGCCTTTTAAAGGATACATTGGTAATTTTCTTTTTCTTTACCATTAGGTTTTTAAGACACTAAGACTTTTTGCTCATTTTTATCAGAAACTGAGTTGTCTAGCCAACATCTAAAATTCAAAGAGATGTAGGTGACTCTTGTAAAGATATGCTTTAGCTTATTCTAGCTTTCTAATAATCATGATTGCAGTATTTCAGTTTAATGACAGTTTCATGTTTTTCCAGGCTTTTGATTTCTGTAAATATATACTCTCTGTGATTAAAATTTTAAAATTCCTGGTTACCAATTACTTGCAGTGATTTAAAAAGAAAATCCAGTATGACAGCAGTAGTTCTTTCCTTATTTTAAATTATTCTCCTATAATATGGAAAAAAAATGAGTTGTTTATTCCTTGCATTTTAAATTGATATTCTAATACAGAAGTTACAAAGTAAAAATACAGGGGACTATTTTTAACTTTTGCATATCCTGATTTAATAATGCTAAATGCATGTATGGTGCGCGTTTTAATTGCAGACACAGTCACCAGAGAAATGGCGTCTTCCTCAGGTTAGATATGTGATTGACCTTCATTTCATTGTGGCTTTTTCTTTTGTATTTACTGTGGATTACATCTCTAACAAACAGAATCACTCTGCAGCTTTCATATAAACTCATGATTTAATAACAGATCACAGTCCACATCTCATTTTTCTTTTACTTGCTTGAAACATTAAGGTTTACCATTTCAGCTACTGAATTATGCAAAGCTTTCCTCATCAGTTTGAAGCTTCCATTATGAATGCCTATGAATATTGTGATTTCTTTCCCTTTCTTTTGCAGGTTTTACATGTTCACGTAGTTGTTTTTAAAGCAGATGATCTTCTGTGCTTTCAGTTTCTTTACGTACCTTTTTATTTGTATTTCTTTTCACAGATGAAGATGACACCTCAGTTAGTACTCCACCAGCAGGTTAGGACTGTGATAATGCTTTGAGTGTGTATGTATGTATGTACTTTTCTCTTGACTATTAATGAAGAACAAGTCTGAACCACTGGACTGAACTCAAAACACACTCCTTAGAGAAAAAGTTTTTTAGAGTGCCCTACATTATATTGATCTTTCTTCAGAGGTACAAGACTTTAACGCTGGATAAGTCCCTTTCCAGTTCTGTCTTGAGGTCTTTGACAGAACTTCTACCAGTGGAAGGTAAAATATTGGTTAGTAGATCTGAAAGCAATTCCAGATAAATAAATAGACTGTTTAAATAATTCAAAGTACTGCCTCCTGGATAAATATTGAAGAACATAAATTCATCTGTTACCTGGAACTACACAAATCATGGAAAAAAAGATCAACCTCATGTAACCCTTCTAAATACAAACTACTAAAAAGGAAATCTTGAGTGGGAATTAAACTAATTTAGATTTCCTAGAGAAAAAGGGGGAAGATTTCTGGGGTTTTTTTCTTAGCAGTTCACTTTTTTCTGGTATTCAAGTAGTTTCTCGTGGATATGGTCCTAAATATTTAGTCTATCTTTCATGAAGAATCAATGTTCTTGAAATCATAATGGTCTGAGGTCAGTTAAGCTATGATCTCTGAGCTGGTATCACCTAAATTGCTCTTCCCTTTCAGATGGGATGTCTAAGCCAGCGGAAAGGAAAGATTCAGGTGAGACGTCCTGAAAAACATGATGGAAAACTCCAAAATGACACAATAAAAATATTAGTTATTCTTAATTTCTTGAAGATAATACTTTATTTTCGTTGTTTAGACAGTAGCAAACTATAACTTCTAAGGAGCAGAGCAAGTAGGTTTCTAGCAGCTAAACCAGGAATAAGAGAAAGCCTTTCTGCACAGGACAGGACATGTACCAGTATTTTACACATACATACATACCTATCTATCTATATCTATTTCTGTATAGATAGATACATAGCTGTTCCATTCCTCCTCAGCCTACAGGGTGACAGTGGCTTACCTGAATCCCAAACACGGGTCCCAGGAGACTGTAAGAGAATGGCTTCCGCTCACACCTCAAAGGACAGTGGGGAAAACTTAGCAAAATCATAACCTCTTTCTTCCTACCCTGGCAGGTAACGCACACTACACCCACTTTTGTGGTTTCAGGATTTGCAGCCTCTGGAACAAATTGAGCAGCAGGTACTTCAACCATGGTTATAGACCTGGCATAGCCGCCTATGCCAGCCCCTTCCACCAGCGTCAAACCCGCCTTCTGTTCTGTTTGTTTAATAATTAGGAAAATGTTAATATCTAAAGGTGATGGTAATATTTAGGTGTTCTTCTATGTGGTACCAAATTAACGACTCTATGTATGCTTTTCCCATTCTTTAATATTCTTTTTCCATTTATTAATATTCTTTTTCCATTTATTAATATTCTTTTTCCATTTCACCCTGTGGTGTGTTAGGTTTGTTACTGCACGTGACCAGGTCCTGTACTGAGCATCATCACTTCATTCTGTTCCCACCAGTAACCTTCACTTGCTCTTACATTGTTTCCACATACCACCATGTAATACTGGCATAATCTAAACATTTATACTATAGAGAGAGTATATATAGATATGTATCTATATATATATGTGTTCATTTATGTTTAAGTGATTTCATGTATGTGTATATATGTTTTCATGTATGTGTATATATGTGTATATACATGTGTATATACATGAATGTCTTTACCTATGAGACATATTGTACAAGCAGACATATAGGCACACCACCTAAAACTGGCTGAAAGACTGAAGGACATAGATTTTATAGCAAAGCTATCTAGAATTTCTATACCTTTTTTAAATCCCCAATAGACTTTAGGATAATAAAAACAGTTTGGTTGCCTTTTCTCATGGTTGTCATGAGTTATGTTGCATTTGTGAGTGATGGAAATTTTCATGAGTTAAAAAGGTTCCCACAGCAGTAATCTCTATATAATAGAAAGACAATTCTGACTTCTGGTAAATGAGTTTCTACAAAAAATACTGAGCAGGGAAAGGAACTTTTAATTTCAAGACCAGGGTTTGACTAAGTGGGAAGTGTTGTGTGACTGGTTCCTCACTTACGTTAGTTAGGAAACCGGAACTAAATGAACATTATATGAACTATAGAAAGCTAACTTCACTTTTGAAACAATTAGAAGTTCAAGGGAAACAAGGGAGAGGCAGCTCTGTTTTAAAAGACACAGATGGCCTTTATTAAGTACAGCTGTACCTTTCCACATTTGCCCTGCCCTTCAGTGCCAGAGATGTGATCTTCTCAGACAAGTGTCAAGCAGGTTGTAAAATACAAAAGCTTCCCATGAACATTGACCAAAAGCTGCTTAATGTGCCTGATAGCATCTTCTTACATTCAAAAGAGGGGTTAAAGGTGAGAATGATACCATCAGGTTCCATCTGCAACAGAGATCAAAGGAAGGAACAGGGACAGTGAATTCTGTATAAAGACTCAGAGATTAAAAATACAGAGAATTCTGCTTAAAATACAGAAGATTCTTCTCAAAGACATCAGTAGAAGAGAACAAAGTTCAGAAGTAAGCTTCATACCTGCCCTATTTTGCAGACAAAGAGGAAGAACCAGCTTGTACAATTGACTTCATTTGAGAGAGACCCACAATGTGGGTTTTTTGTCTGGTTTTTTTTTGTGCTTGTAGCTGTTTGTGTTTTCAGAACCTCCACCTCTTCTGAAAAACAAAGAGCTGACCTTTGTACATCACCTCTGTAAAGCACTCATGGTTGAATGCTCAAGTTGCTCAGTACCCATCTTGGCTGATCAGGTTCCCCTCTCTTCCTCCCTGATAGTTTCATTTTCTCTCACCACAGAGGTAGTGTTCTTGAAGGAGCTGTACACAATGTGATAGCCAAGCAATGGATGTCAGTGTGAACAAAAACTTACATATCTTTCAGGACATCTGAAGAGAGAGGTGATAGGGCTAGAGAGTTTAGTAAGTTCAGGTAAGTGTACTTTGGAAGGAGTAAAACACACTCAGATGACTGATATTTCCCCCTTTCTCTGCATCTCAGTATGGTCTCTTGGAGAAGGAGCTCCAGAAGAGTCAGAAAAACGAGATGACTCCCAGAGATCTACTTTATTCATCGAAAAACCTCAGAGTGGTACAGTGAGTGTCGGTAAGTGCTTAGAGACAAAATTAAAAACCACTCTCAGAGAGACAGGGGTTGAGGCAGAGCTGGGAATGGTAGGTGTCATTCCTGTGACACTCAGCTTCTGCCCTCAGCTGCAAGTGCTGCCACTGTTTTTAGCTGGATGTGAACTCCACTCTGAAGGAAAAAAGGACCATACAGAGAAAAGCAAACCCCAATTGTTTAATTCAATACAAGCTCAAAATCTAATAGTTTGCCGAGCACAATGGTAAGAGGTATAGTTTCTGGATAAGACAGTGGTTACTGTGACACTGTTGGCTGTACTCTTACTGATATATCAGGAAGATCTTCCCAAAGATCTGCAGAATATCTTAGAGGTTGACAGATACCCTACAGCTCTGCATAAATTAGCAAGTAGCCTAATGGCAACAGCTGCCCACTGTGACCATTCTGGAGGACTTGCTCTGGACTGGCTTTGGTTTAGTCCAGTGGTCTATGTACATATTCGCAGTTGGAGCACAGGTGGCAAACTCCCAGAGCACATATTTGGTTTTAATTTCACCCCAGAGGAATCCAGTTCAAGCACTGTGAGGACTTTCTATGTTGTGAACCACAATATAGTAAATGGAGGGAATTAGGAGGTTCACTTCTAAACTGCACTCCTGAAACATGCTGCCATGGTAAGGTAGCCACTCCTAGTAATGATGATATGTTTAGTGCAGGCTACTTAATATGCCTGTTATTTCACAGGGTTCACAAAGATGTGGGCAGATCTTGGGATTTTTTTCCATGTCTGTATTCTGAGTAGAAAGGGGGATTTGAGGAGGATTTATTTAGAAAATAAATATAAGGAGTTGGTTGCATTCTCTTACAGATGAATGTTAGGATGGAAACTCAATGGGGGTTGTGCAGTGGTCTTTTGAAAACTGAGATAACATTTACTACTCCCAATTTGCTGTTTAGAGAAAACTCTTTCCTCTACCTTCTCAACTTAAAGAATTAATGATAAAAAAGGCATGAATTACTCCAGACTTTCTTTTCCAGACTGGAGTTTATCTATGTTACAGCTGCAGGGTAGCCTATGGTTCAAAAGAACCTGTACTTCTTTTGAGCAAGGAAATTCAAATATTAGGAACAATTCACCCATGAGAACACTAAGATGAGAACATTCAGATTTATCCTGCTTCTCAGTGTCTCAAGCTCTGCATTGACATGCACAGAAAGCTTCCAGACCCAGAATCATTAATGTCTGTCTCACTGCAGTACTTGCATAGTCTGTGTGACTCTAGCTGACTCTTTACTGTTGTGGTAGAGCACGTGGAGACTGAATGGAGCAGTAGTGAAAGAAACTTGTACAGATATAACTGGCCAACCACATGTTCCTCAACAGCTGCATTATTCTTTCCTCTTTTTAAAAGGTGGGAATATTACATTTATAGCCAAAGTAGAAGCCAAAGATCTTCTCCGAAAGCCAAACGTTAAGTGGTTTAAAGGAAAATGGATGGACCTGGCCAGTAAGGCGGGGAAGCATCTCCAGCTGAAAGAGTCCTTTGAGCGTCACACTAAGGTGTGTCTTTGCTTTTCCTTCTTATGGGGGTGAATCTCCAAAGAGAGCTTAAAGATGGGTTTAAGACAACAGGTAGAAGTTCAAGAGCAGTGGATTCTAACCCTGGCTTCTCCGCACAGATTTGAGTGATGATCTCTGGCACTGCACAAAACCAGACTTTTCTGCTCTACCAGTGCAGGACAAGTAGTGATGGGGGAATAAAAGTTGCCATTTCTGGGTTCCAGATTCTTTTCAGAACCCATTATTTGAGTTATTCCTTGTTTCTGGTTTAGAACTGAAAGACCATTGTTTTAACTTGTGCTTTGTGCAAATGTATCTCCCACATTAATGAACAATTATGTCTGATTTTTAGATTCACACATTTGAGATGCATATCATCAAAGCTAAGGAAAACTATGCAGGGAACTATCGCTGTGAAGTATCTTACAAGGACAAGTTTGATAGCTGCTCTTTTGACCTTGAAGTCACTGGTAAGGTTCAACTTTTGTCTGTAAAGTTTTATGAAGATTTTTTTTTATTTTTATTTGAAATGCCACTTCATTTTGTTTAGAATCTTTAAATGGAGTAGTGGTAAAGCGAACATTTTTATCATAGAGTTCTGAGAATTTTTTTAAATGTCTAGTTTATTGTTTAAATGAACATTGGGATAGATAGCATGTGAGACATTTATCAAAAAATTAGAAAAGCTGGCAGGTAACACTAATATTGAGTTCAAATCAGGCTCTGGCACACAAGACAGTTGATATATGCCTGACAGCCCAAGGGGCACAGTACACACCTGTGTGTACTCAGAGTTCAGCAAGGCAGGGCAGCCTGGCTGCAATCATTCACTGGCTGTGAATCAGAACTTAATCTGATTCAGGCTGGCACAAAAGGGTAATTGCTACAAGAGGGATTCCTCCTTGAACTGAGAATGAACGGGAGTTTGTAGCTGTAGAAGAAACTCTTTCCTGTGATGTTGAGCATACAGAGAAAGTGCAAGATGCAAGCAGGAGAGAGAGCATAAAAATGGGAAGATGAAAAGGTCAGAGCCTCTATATAAGGTAGGAAGGGGAATAGAGAGAAACATCAGAGAAGCATCTTCTATGCAGAACTGCAGAAAGTAGTTTAGAGAAATACATTAATTACACTTAGCTTAGCACTGAGCATCTTTGCCTTCATCAGAACTTAGTATATTAATGAGAACTTAAAGGGGAAGCACAAACTCTGGTCACTTAGCAGGAAACTGAACAAATTCCATATTCCTAATTACACTGATTACATAAATTACATGAATTTCAAGTTGTGTTTTTAATTCTTGAATTACCATTATTTTATAGAATCTTCCCAAGCTGCTCCATCCATTGACATCAGATCTGCTTTCAAAAGAAGGTAACTTCAAACAGTGATGTCATGAAGCTCCTCAGTAATGGATACTGGTAGCATACACAGAACTTGCATCAGACAATTGTATCAAGTACTTTAAAAAACTTGTTTTGTAAATACAGACTAAAGAAGTGGGATTTAGGGTAGTTGAGAGTGGGTAGAATGAAATAGTTACAACACATAGATAGTATGTATGATATTAAATACTCTACTGTCATTACAATGTCATTGCATTAAGGAAAGAAAGAATATTTAAGGCAATTAAATATGTTTTTCTTTAGCAGTTTTAAAAAATGTACTTTCATTCACTAAAATATTCTACTGCATGTTTTCTGTAAGCTGTCAGCTACAATATGAAAGATCCTGGACCCAATCCTGTATTGATTAAAAGCAGAGAAAAAATTCACATTGAATTTCAAGAAGACAGGATCTGGCTTTATTTTATCTTACAATAAACAGTAAAGGCCATCATTAATGTATTACATCTATACATATTAAATCTATGATATAATATATTATGTTACAGAGAATGTGAGATAAAGCATTGTGTCTTAAGTTTTGTTACCTTTCTGATAAAGTGGCAAGTCTAACCAGTTTAGATGTCATCTTTATATGATGAAATATATAAAGAAGTATACAGACATATTCAGAATGAAAATGTTTTGCAAACAGAAAATGAATGCAGTTTGTTAATTTACAAGTAAAGCTATGATTCCCAAGTACCTGCTTTTATTTAGAGGGGTTAATTTAAAGAGAAAATACAAAAGGTATTACACTCAAGGTGCACTCCTTTCTTTAGCACATTTAAAAAAACCTGCAAGAACTGCTCTGCCCAAGCAGATGAAGATATCTGAGTATTTTCTGATTTTCTAAATAATATCTTGCATGCAAAATTTGGATGAAATATTGGCATCATTTCAGTTAAGATTTGCAGTATTTTGGCCTTTTTACAAATATTAGGGGCATTTCCTTTGTTTATATTTGCTCTATGATAAGGTAGTCCTGCTTAAGGTCACTTTATAGAAAGAAATGCACCTTCATAGAACTATGATTCTATCTGTAAAAATGTACAATGTCCTGTTTCTTCTTTTTTATCACTGATTCCTCCCTTCATTTAGAGAAAGGTTAAATCTAAATATAATGCTGTAAAGTGTAATGCTCTACAATCAGTATTTGACACAGCTATGCGTTGTTAAAAGCAACACCAAGCAATGCAAATCTTTGTTTTCTATTCATAGCTAAAGATCAGCACAAGCCCTTTGTTTTTATACACATTCACTACAGAAATGAAAAACAAAGCTGGTTGTGTTGACTGGCTCACATTTGTTTGTGTTATTGAAATCTAACACAAACCTTGGCAAATTTATGTATTCAGTTACAAAAATTTGCCATCAAAGTATAATAAGAAACAATACAAACCCTTGTGTTATTTTTCACACGTGCCTACGGAAACATAATTCATGTGAAAAAGGATACAAGTTTGTGTTGATTTTATACAATTATTGGTGTGTCTGGACAGTGTTGAATATATGAGATGTGTAGATCGTTTCCAATGTGTGTTGTCTAAGTCTTCCTGTATTAAACAAAGATTTGATCTTTTTCTATTAATAACAGCGGTGAAGGACAAGAGGATGCAGGAGAACTTGACTTTAGTGGTCTCCTGAAACGTAGGTGAGAACCAAGTGATGCAGTGAGCAGGTGTGGATTGCAAACCATTAGGTTCGCACATAGAAAGAGTCAGGTGTAGCATTAATAACTTCTTAAGAATTTTCTGACCATTTTTTAATGTTTCTAACTATCTTTTCTCATATTATAATATGCAAATATTCAGTTAATTTTACCTTTAAGTGTGCAGAAAAGAAACCTCAGATTTGAGTGCACTGGGAAAAAACGTGAGCCACAACCTAAAGAGGCAAATAACATTTAATTCACTTGCTATTTCTTTTGTGCTTGCATGGAAGGCAGAGGGGGGGAAATTTCCTACACAGGGATGAGCAGTTCAGAAAATTGAGTCTGGTGCAAAAATAAAAAACTGCAAGGGTTAAATTTACCTCTTTGGGTACATCTTAATTTGATTTTGTAAGTATCCTGATATATCATGTTTTCAAGCCATAGGCATTGGTATTAATTATTTGTAGCTTTTGGTTTCAATATGTGCACACAAATGCTCAATAATGTTTTATTCAACTTAAATGCTTTGATGGAAAAAATCTTGGGCACTTGTTTCTCCAGTTTGCTTTGAAAATCTGGTGTTATGATAGTTATATCTCCAGCTATTTCAGATCTTAAACCCATTTTAGTGTTTTACCAGGTTAAGAGAAAATAGTTCATAATTTTTTAAAATTGATCACAGAAATTCTATATGCTGTGGAAATCAATGGCAATTAACCACAGAGAACTGGAAAAGGAACTAAATCCTTTTTCTCATCTACCACTTACTCTGAAAGAGGAAAACCCAATATGAGGTATTAATTACATTAGAAGTTCACAACAGGGTCATTGGCTTTGAGGGTGAGGATAGCATTTAAGCAATTAAAGCAAACAAGAAAAGCTGAAGGTAAAAGTGCACAGGGAAAGAATTACCTGAGCCAATTCCAATCCACCAGGTCCTTGGTTTTTTAATCTTCTCATCCCTAACTAGGATCTTCTGTTTGACTTTTTACATACTAATACAACTTACCATACCAGTTCTCATGACTGCCTGTGGGGTGTTTTATTAGCAATATGACAATTGCATGTAAGAGGTCTTGGTGTTTTCATGGAAAGAGAAAAAAGATTTAAGAGGCATTATCACTTCACTAACAAGTAACTTATACGTTTTGTAAGATAAATACTATATAGCCATATGAACATAGTATACCTATTGTGTGGTTAATGGATAAAGCATATGTTTAGTTTTTAAACACCATTATTTGACATTGGTCAAATTGGTTCATCACCTCCTTGTTTCAGGCACTGAAATGCAACCTCATATTTCTGAGCTTAATTGAATGAAATAGTTAATTAAGCCACATTGTGGATGTTAATATCCGTGTGTGTGGATATTAACATCCATTATTATGAAGACAAATAGATGTTTTCATTTCAATTTTTTCAACAGGCAATGTTGGAGGTGCATTCCTTCTCTTTTGTACCAAGGTGCATCCCTTGGTTGTATGACCAAGACCTAGAACTTTTCACCTTTGGTGCATACTGCTTGAAACATGGTTTAAAAAAAAGCCCAACAACTAAATGCATAGAATTGATATGCTATTTTCCAATTTCATGCTGGTTGGCAGGCAGAAAAACCAGTTCTTATCTCAGTAAGCCATTCTGTGACTGGTTATGCTTTGTCGGTGCAATGGATCAGTAATGGCACGACTTTCCAAAAGGAACAAGATCTCTAAAATATTCAAACATTTGGGTCCTTTATTTTTTAGAAAAATAACATGTACATCTTTCAGTGAAATGCACATTTTTAAGGTAAAGGTCTGAAAGTGATCTTGTGGTGAGGTCAGTCTGCTTAGAAAATACCAAGCACTGTTTGCCCCCTAGCCGCAGCACAAACTACTGAGGTCTAAGAACAAAGTTGGTTTGCTTTAAGTGTCAGAATTTTTTCTCCAGTAACGCAAGAGGAAAATGAGCCTGGAATTATCATTTCAAGCTGGTTGAAGATCAGGATTGTCTAACTGATCCTCATTCTCAACCACTGCCTGATTTGAAGGGGTACATTATCTTGATTCCCACAGAGATCATCTCTCCTCAGCACGGACAGGCATTGCATGGCTTGTGGCCAGCCCTGGGAGAGGAGAATGCACCCCATGGGGTGTGTCAGCTTTTATATATGTTTGTCAGCTGATCTCAGCTTGCTGCCATGCAGAAGGCATCTCACTGAAAAGTCACCCTCCAGAAAGCATGAGATAAAAGCAAATAAAAGTGACAGGAACAAAATATGAAATTATATACCTGAGATTGTGTAACAATAATTCTAAGATAAGACTGAAAGTATTTCAAAGACTCCTCAGGGAGAAGCTTTCTTCCTTTTTAAAATAGCTCTGACGTATTATGAAAATTAATAAGCCTCATGGACTAAACAGCAAAGTGGTTTTCCATAGTTCCTCATCCAACATAGGGATTCTCAGGGATCCCCAGTGCTATTCCTGTATATGTCAAAGAAAATCCTCTGTCAGACTCAATAGAGCTCAACTCTAACAGTGTCTCACTGCAGAGCTCAGTCTTTTTTTATTTCTCAAAAGTTTATTTTCTCACTCTGTTCTCCAAAGTACTGATTTTGTTAGATCAGCTAGATCAAATCAGAATGATACTGGTCTGACCCTAGTGAATTTACAGGAGGAAGAATATAGATTTCTGCTCCAATTCCTGGATTGTTCTAGCAGTTCACTTTTTGAGCTAAACTGTAAATCTGAAAAATCATCATCACTGTTCTCTCATTTAATGGTTGCCACTGTAATAATAATCATACTTCTCTTTATTGGTTGTCTTAGCCTGGAGTTGCAGATAGTAAAGAAAGTATTGAAACTTCTGTAAAAGTGATGCCTCACACAGGACTCTGAAAATTTTTCCTGCTCTTAAGACTGAGATGCAGATCCATCCTTCAAGTCGAAGCTGGGGTGGAAATGTTCAGTTCCTATCCATATGACAACTTTAAGTAATGCTGAGAAGCACCAGTGTAACTATAAGCAGACACAGATTCCCCTGTATTCCAATGTCCTCTCATTGGTAACCCAAAGCAGCAGCTACAGGGACTCAGGGTTGAAAGCATTTTTACTTAATTATGACATGTACAGATTAGACTCAGCTCTCAGAGGTGCCATCATAAATTGTAACTGTATGCTATTACAGCACTAAATTTTTCAAACTATATATATTTTTTTAAGCAATGAAACAATATAAAAATCCTCATAACTGATTGTATCAGCAAAGGCCAAATTAAAACTTATATCCAAATTCTCACTCGAAGAAGTGTAAAGTAAGGTGTGAATGTCATTCTGAGCTGTTCCACTCGTTCTGAGTGAAATAAAAAAATAAGATAGCAGCCTTCAAATTTTGGCCAAAACATTTCTAGCCTCCCCACAGACTCAGCTCCACCTATTTTTATGGTGTGATAACCGCTAACTCTTCACCCATAATTTTATTTTGCTAATGTTAGGGAGGTTAAACAACAAGAGGAAGAACCTGAGGTGGATGTGTGGGATCTCCTGAAGAACGCGAATCCCAGCGAGTATGAGAAGATTGCTTTCCAGTACGGTATCACCGACCTGAGAGGAATGTTAAAGCGCCTGAAGCGGATGCGCAGGGAGGTGAAGAAGAGCGCAGGTATGGATATGGGAGAATATTCTTATGCTCATTAGTCAAACACCACCTTCTACCTTAAAATGCCAAATATGCTTCGTTTCCATGCAAGGGAACTTGCACACTACAACTCAAGCCTCGTTACTGCAGGGGGTTAATCAGAAAGCTGCTTTGTTCCACTGTGGGTAGTGTAAGCACCCTGCCCCGTTCAGTGCTTACAAAAAGAATCCTTCCCTCTCAGACAAACACTGGTTCCATCTGGAGCAATGTCCCTCAGTTGTGTGGTAAGGTGTTATCTGATCAAGCAATATGGAAATTAGACCTTGTGCTATTATCAGTATGTTCTGCTCAAAACAGAGGTCACTCCAAACATGTTGTTTGCTCTTCGTAATTTCATTTTGCACTTAATCTACATTCCTTGGAAATCCCAGCTGTACTAAAAACCCTCCACTCCGCACTGGGTGGGGATATTCAGGCCTGTCTTTCCCAACCCACCCTACTGAATAGTATGAGTGGTGTAATTATATATACCGAAATACAAATATGTGTTTCTATGTATATAAATATGTGTGTGTGTATAAAATACATGTCACATAATATGTCTACACGTACATAGTTCTACACATACATATAAATACTACACACTATCCATTATACTATTGTGCCTTCTGCTTGTTCCTGGACAGCATTTCAGAACTGGATGCAATACACACATTTGCTGTTCCACTGGATTCCTGGAGGAGTCCCTTTTGTGTAGGTGAAGTCCTCCACAAACCCAGCTGTAATTCAGCTTCCTGATATACCCTCTCTCCTTATCCATTACCTCACATAATAACATGTTTATGCTACTACACATTAATTTTTACTTATATTTTTCATTTGCTGGTATATTTGATTCAGGCCCCATTTGTGGGAGGGAGGGAGGAATGGAGTCAGTGGGCTTTGGCTGAGCCACTGGGGCAGTTTTTGGATCCAGTAAAGCTCTCTATGGAGCTGCAGCCCAAGGAAACCCCTCATCTTCCCCCAGGAGTCTAGACCAGAGATGAGGGCCTGGTGGGTCTGGAGGCTGGAGCAGGAATAGTGTGGTTGGGAGGAAGAGCTGTTCCCTACCCAGGTGCATGACATAGAAATGCCTGAATATTTTCCTGGGAAAGAGGCATCTCTCAGCACCTGTGACAGGTTGTCTGGCCCCTCTCCCCCATTCCTTTGTGAGTAGGATGGAGATTCCAGCTAAACTAGGATTTTTTTCAGTGGGCAGGGTTTTGCCTACAGGAGGGGCTCCAGATATTGGGGAAAATGCCTATAGTAGTGACAGGATGAGAACAGGGCATATTTCCCCTCATGACACCTTTATTATAAATTGGAAACTTTTATATGCAATAAGATAAATAGAAAATCCTTTTTTTATAATAACACTTGACTTCCATAACAGCTTTTGCCAAAGGTCTGGATCCTGCATATCAGGTGGACAAAGGAGGTAAAGTAAGATTCATGGTGGAGCTCGCAGACCCAACAGTGGAACTCAAGTGGTATAAAAATGGCCAAGAAATACGACCAAGTGCAAAGTAAGTGATTTTATCATATGCAGGCAATAAAATGGGTACATGTGTACTTCCTTGATAAGAGTGTTGCACAGATCTCTCTCTTCACTCAGTTTGCACCAATTTTATTCCTGAATTTCATTAGATGTGAAGAGTATGCAGATGATGCTATATTGCTCATGACCCAAAAAAGTCCACTGTAGGCTAAATGCAATGGTAGATCGACTCCTTTGTCTCAACAAACCATAGTGCCATTTTCTTCTTAGTAGTTTTTTTAAAAATCAGGAAGCACTGCGAGTAAACAAATCACTTTAAGTAAATAACAACAGCCCTCTTAGAGAGAAAGGGCAGATTTCCTTCAATATGTTGCTGCAAAAGTCAATGAAGGATTTTGATGAATCTTCATAATTGGCAAAAAAATGGATGATAAAGAGGGTAGTGTTTCTTTAGCCCCTTTATCTTCCATGAGCAGTTCAGAACTGTTTTGCAGGCAGCTCTATGGATACCTCTCCAGCAGAAGGGCCTGGATTGAGTGTTCCAGTGCATTTCTACCAGGCTGCTGAAGCAGCTGTCAGATGCTAATGAGCTTTGGTCATTACAAACCTGGAGCAGATCTAAACTAGTGACATAAAGGTGAAAGGCTCCATTACCAAAACCCCATATCCCATTACTGATATCTTGTGCCATCTGGCCTACCAACAATATTAACTTCTTAACTTTGGCTATTATTACACTTCACAAAAATGTTGGAATGAGTGATGGTGTCCTCTTACTGGTTATTTTCAGCTTTACTCATCTAGAGTTTCAGACTCCATTTTATTTGCCATCATTCCATGCCTGTTCTTCTTTTTTTTTTAATTTGTGGTTTTTTCATATCACCCAAGCCTGGGATTTTGGAACAAGCTAGAAGGAGCTCATTGTCCTTCTACACCACAGCTTTTTGCTAGAAGTCTATGACAGCACTGTTGAAACTTGGAAATTGCTTCTAAGGACAATTTTTCCAGTACTGTGCAAACCCCAGAATTTTTGCTTCTAATAATCCCTAAAGCACTTTCTACATAAAACTAAAGGGGCCCAGCAGTTTTGCTAACATCTCTTTGCTGCATTCCCGTTCAAACAGATACATTTTTGAGCACAAAGGCAACCAGCGAATTTTATTCATCAACAACTGTTCGATGACAGATGATGCTCGCTATTACGTAACAGCTGGTGATGAGAAATGCTCTACAGAACTCTTTGTGAGAGGTAATTATGTCAGCCTGATGCTCTTTCACGTGCTGTAAATTGATGTGGCTTCTTTGGCTCCAAGAGAAACTAACAGGGAGGGTCTGGTTCAGTATATTTTTGTATTTGTATTAGCAGCCCTGAGGATCGTTCAGTATTTCTGTGATCCCTGGACACTTTGTTTTCCTCATCCTGTGTTTAGTAACTTATGGTTGATTTTATCCTGTGCATTGGGATCTAGTGGGGCTTGTGGAGTCCTTCACAGTTTTAAGCCATTTTGGAGACTTGTGTGTCATAACATTTCCCTAGCAGCACACTTTGGTACCTGAGGACTTCGATACTATTAGTCCAACTAGTCTGTTCCAAGTACCCTCAGATCAGGCTTTCTAGCAGTTAGTTTTCATTCTGCCTGCACTATTTTAAGGGAAGAATCTATCAAAAATCATGAATGGGTGGCCATATCTTCACTCTCTTTGATCCCATTGTGTTGATTACCCCCACATGCACAACAAAACAAACAGAAAAATTCAGTAAGAGAAAAAAAATCATAAAATATTTTAAAAATCCTTTTTAAAAGAATGGAGTCCATTGCCCCTATAAGCAGCATAGGATAATTCTTGTACAGCCTCTTGCGATTAAATAAACTTGAGTTATGACATTAGGGATGGATTAAGCAAATAATGTCACCATGATATTCCATCAGTCATCTTATTGTGCAAAATGGGCTATAGGACCTAAAGAAAACCCAGTTTATGAGAGGGATCTGTGGGAGGCAAGAGGGGAATGTCAACTTCTCATGCCAAGCTGCCTGGACAAACTGTTAACAAAATGGGATGCAAGGCAGTTATTAATATGAACAATTATTATTTTTTTTTAATTTAGCACATTTCCTACTAGCATCTTAATGAGCAATCATTTTTCTGATTTAAGACAGAAAGAGCTGCCTTGATACTCATGTTAGAATTTTAAAGTAGTATCACCTTCTACAGCATGATTTAGGAAATCTCTCTCATTTAGTTTTCTCTCTCAGACCATAAACCTGTAACTTAATCTTTCCAAAGATCCTCCTATTTTGGTGACCAAAGGCCTGGAGGATACCAATACCTACGTTGGTGAACGAGTAGAACTGAGCTGTGAAGTATCTGAGGACGATGCAAATGTGAAATGGTAAGCCATACATAGTTTTTTCCTTGAGAATAAAACACAGAAAATTTTAATTGTGGGTAAAAATGTGGGCAGCTTTTTCTGTACCAGTAAACCTGAAAATTGTTAAGAAAATCTCAATAAAACATTATGCAAAAATGTAGCAACAGCAAAAATATCCTTATACAGTCATGGATGCATTTGTTTATCCTTTTCTAGTGCCTTAGAGTCTTGTAAAGTCTTCTCTGGGAGTTTCAGTCTATGGAAGTTTTATTTGCACAGGATTTCTATTGGAAAATTAATCATTCTTTGTTTTTCAATAGGTTTAGGAATGGCGTAGAACTTACCAATGATCCTAAATCTCGGTATCGAATCAAGGTTGAGGGTAAAAAACATACTTTGATCATAGAGGAAGCTGCAAAAAATGACACTGCAACTTACTCAGTTATGACAACTGGAGGGCAATCAGAAGCCAAGCTTGCAGTTGACTGTGAGTATCATCCATCTTACCCTTGAATTCATGTATCAGTTTGCTGGCATACAGAAATAAATAATCTACTTGCTTTTCCCTGGGGGTTTAAAGAGAGACTTTAACCTCCAGACCAATTTCTTTGCTGCAAATCTCCAGAACAGTGACTTCCCTTTAGACAATTTTTGCAGTAGCAAGCAATGAAGTAGTTCTCCTTGATAACTTTCTATCACTCCATTAAGGTGGAAAATAAAGCAATCCATCCAAAGACACAATAAGTCAACAAAATTTTCAAGGAAAGCATCTGCTTTTCCTTAATCCTTTCAGGTTTTTGCAGGAAAGACAAAGCTAGGCACAAACATACGGTTATGTAGCTCCCTCAGCTTTGTGCAATATCTCTTTAGAATATCCATGGTTTTTAATAACATATATCTGTCCATCCTCTAAAGTTATCATGCATTATACATAAATGTACACTTTTTTTTTAATACTCATACTGCTTTTGACTATTTTATACAAATTGGCATCCTAACCAATCCGTGCTATTTTATTATGAAGTTGGAAATTATCCTCCATGGCTACTGAGCTCTATCACATTTCCTTTCTTGCACCTTCTTCCAATGAATTTCCAACTGTCTTTCTACAAAACTCTGCCTTTCCCATCACTCTTTGTTTTCTGTGCCAGATTATAGTCAGGGCTATTTATTGTACAGTACTGATTGTACTGTGTGTTCAACCTGGACTCTGCTTTGCAGCATCTAATCTTCCAGAAAGTGGAGGAGTACTAGGGTACCAGTTCTCAAACTCGAGTTTTACCAAAGCCAATAATATCTGTGGGTGTTCATAGGGTGAGTTAAGGCACTTCAGCAAACATGAGAACAAGTAGTGTATGAAGTTAAGCTTACTGGCCAGTCATCCTTTGCCACAGGCTTGATCGCAGTTGGATCAGAGGAAAGATGGGCTGTAATCCCTTCTACTGCATAGATCTGGGGACCCAGGTCATTCACTTCTTGAAAGTTTCCTACTGGACTCTGGGGGACAGAAACACCCTGCCTCTAGCACCCAAACATCAGAGAGGAGACAGCATGCAAATTAGGCTCCTGGCCTCAGTTCTTCTACTGGCAACATCCACAGTTTCCCCAGTCAGGGTATTTTGGATCATCCTTTCTAAGGCATCAGACTGCACGAAGATAGTTACAGACCGCATGAAAATAGTTAATTTATGGTGCTTACATGTGCATATTACTGGTATTTCAACTTGAGAACTTTATTATTGGAGGCATTTTTCTGTTTTGAAGCCTGTGGTGATGGCTAGCATCAGCTCTGTGACAGAATCAGGAGCTGCTGTTTGTTATCACCATTAATATCTCTGCCTCTGTTTTCCTAAGTGAGACCACTGAAGATATCACTTGCATTAGAAGACCAGACTGTGAGGCTTGGACAGGAAATCCACCTGAAGTGTGAGATATCTGAGAACGTGGAAGGGAAATGGTACAAAAATGGACAGCTGATTGAAGCTAGTGACCGTGTAAAGCTTTATCACAAAGGAAGGTAAGCCTTGGGTATTGATTTGGCTTTTGATGGAGTGACACTGTAGAGACGTGCCAATATGTGGGTTCCTTCACTGAAAATTATTTGCTAATCAAGCTAACTCCTGTCCCTCAAAACATTTATTTTTATCATCTTAAAAGCCATGTCTCCTTGTTTCTTTTAATTCTGGCTGTGGAGGAAAATAATCAAGTCCTTGATCCATCTAAGTTCAAGCTGTTATTTTTTCTTGACATTGTTATTGCTGTTAGCATGGGATATTAAATAGTAACTTAAAATAATTCTTAGACACTATTAAGAATACATAGCTTTTAAATGCCTCTTTTTCTCATAGTTCCTTGGACCATGTAATTCTGCCCATTCAAAGTTTATGGAAATGTCAAGTTACTTTGCTTTTATAAGCTGTCCTTTTTCACGTGAAGTAAGAAACCACAAACAACAAACAAACCTTAAAAAACACAAAGCAGGTCCTACCTTGAACCACACACCCTTCACCATTCATACAGCTGGGAACTGCTCTTGTGAAGGCACTCCTAAACCAGCTTTGAAATGTTTGCACTGACTCCCTAACACAAGTCACACAGTATTTAATCAGCTAAAATACCACTAAGTGACCAAAAAAAGGATTTTTAGTCAGTAATTTTGCATGCTTGAACAGATCTCCTAAACTTTTCAGACATTTTTTTCCTTACAGCTTCAAGCAGTCTGCAGAAATAATTTACATTGATTTCTTTTTCAATTTTTTTACAGAATCCACAGATTTGTTATACCAGCTTCTGCTGTTGATGATGAGGGTGAATACATGTTTGTACCAGATGCCTATAATATTAATATTCCATGCAAAGTACATATCGTGGGTAAGTGTATTGCACAACAACTTATACATAACCTCTCTTTCTCTGAGCTTTGGAAATTGAAAGCAGCATGAAATATTCCTGATTTCAGTCAGTTAGTATCCTCTGAGCAAGCATCTACCAGAGAAAACAGACTTGCTCCTTTGGCAAAGTGCAAATGAGCTGGTTGACGGAGTTCTCTGCCTGTCCTCAGGACCTGTTCATAGTTTACACACTGGTGGGAGCTGAAGGCTTCTTGATGTTGAATTACTAAACTTAAACCATTATGAAAAGTTTGTGTAAAATACCTGTTGCTATGCACTTCTCAAATATGTTGTGTTGTCTTTGAAGAACTGGCTCACTGACATTGTAAAACGTGATTTAATTTGGTGAAAGATTAGTAGAATAAGCACATATTTACCTATTCACTGAATACATTAAATGCTATCTAAAGGAAAAAAAAGTTTCCAGACAGCTTTCATTCACTCAGTAAAACAGAAGGCTTGTCAATGATCCCAGTCCTTGAAACAAAATCAAACAAGTCATTGACTCTTCCCACAAAAATACCTCACCAGCTTCTAATTGCAACCAGCCACTTGGAAGTCAAAAGGAGAGCAATATAAATGACCAAAGTTTTAGAAAACATGTTCTTTAATTGAAGCTGAAAGAAGTGGGATTTCTGTGTTAGAAAAAGTATTGGTAAGATTTAGAGAGAATGAAAAGGGAAGTGGTACTAGAGGAAAACACCCACTGCTATATTTGCAATACATTAAAAAAAACTGTAAGAGGATATTCCTCAGTTGTTCTCCATACACATGGGGTACAATAAAAGTGATAATTTCATTTTCAGGAAAGGATTTGGGTTAAGAATACTTTAGAATTATAAGAACAGTGAAGTCTGAAGCATGGTAAAAGTGTGTTAAAAATTCTGCAACCGAAATTCTCAAGAGGCACTTAAAGAAAACCTTTCTCAGAAGTTACCTGAATATACATAATTCTGCTTCAGGAAAACATTTTTTTTTCTATACAGTCTTACTATTCCAAAATCTTTATGGTTCCATGATTTCTTTTTCATCAGATAACTATTTTCTTAAATAGATTTTCTTCACATATTTTTTTCCAAACAAAAAATCAGTTGCCTAGAAAAATCAGGAAAATGTGAGACGTAGAGCATGTTTCTTTATGTTGCAGACCTGTGTCAGGTCACTGAACTCTCAGAGCAGCAGCTGAATGACAGATTTGGACAATCTCTCCTTTTTCAGATCCTCCTAAACTTCACCTGGATGGTCTTGGAGAAAATAACACTGTTACAGTAGTGGCAGGAAGCAAACTACGACTTGAGATCCCTATCACTGGTGAACCAACTCCAAAAGTTGTGTGGAGTAGAGGTGACAAGGTACATTGTCATTATATACATTTCTTTAGCTTAAAAGGAGTCCTTTTTTTCCAAAAATAGCCTTTGTGAATACATTGATTTTATCAGCAGAAAATAAGGGGAAGATGCCCTTTGTTGAAAAACTCTCCTCGCTCAAGGATAAAATATATTATTTATTATTTTTTCAGTCTTTTTAAGGAAAGGCTGAAATTAATGAATGAAATAATATGGGTTTTCTATAAATAAATAGTAAAGGAGAGGGATATATGAGATACAGAAAAAAACTAGAGAAAATCCACCAAATGGCTACTTCTTCTATACATACTGCCTAGAATGGCCAGGTTTTGACAGGAAGCCATGATATATTCTGGTTCTGGAAAATGAATGACAAATTCTAATGGAGTGTCAAGTCTCAAATGAAACAATAGGCTGGGAAATTGCAATCTTGCATCCTGTGTCTTAATGCAAAAGTTTTTCACAGATCAATCCCTGGCTGTATAAATATAAAAAAAGTCACTTTTCACATACAAATTTCCACTGTGGTATGTGGAAGCTGGAACATGTTGTTACTACTATGTTCAACAGACCTATCTGGTCAAATCTGTGACTATTACTTTACAAACATTAATTTAATTGCGGTGTCCAAATAGGGAATTATTCTAAGAGAGCTCCGAATATATACTCCAAAATATGTGACAGCATTTAAAATCTGTGAGGACGAACTACTGGCCATTACAATCACTCTGACCTTTAAAGTGAGTGAGTTAAATTTTTATTTGACTTTTGGAAAAATCCACTATTCTTTTTCCATCAAATAATGTCAGGTGGTGTTAAAAAAGTGTGTTCTTGCTCACAGGACAAGTAAGCCTAGTGCCTCATCCTTTATGGTGCAGTGGCTGAACTGAGTACTAAACAGTATTGTAGTTATTTGTACTTATTTAGTTATTTTGTCATTTTTGTCACCATTAGGTGACTGAAATTCTGAGTTTTACTGTGGTTTTTCTTACAGTTGCTTAAAGAATTTTGCTGAAGTGTACTATATTACTTCTAAATTTTGATTTTTAGGTACTTTATTCTCAAATACAGAAACTATGACTTTTACCTCTGCTTACCCTGATTCCTAGGGGATCACGGACAGCGGAAGAATACGGGCAGAAACATATCCAGACAGCAGCTGCCTGGTCATTGATACAGCTGAGAGGGAAGATTCAGGTCCTTTCAGAATAACTTTAAAGAATGAGGCTGGAGAGGACACAGCTCTAATCAACATCAAAGTGGTTGGTAAGTCATATGGAACTGTGTTCTTGAGCCACGTCTTTTATCACAGCCATTGCCAATACATGTTCCTTGAAGACCCACACTTTCATGCGCTCCAACAGGACACAAATTCTCCTTTCCCTACCTGAAGGGTCCCTTCTGTAGATGCTGTCCTCCCTAGCTACTGAATTGTTACAGATTCTCAGAAAACTTCCATCTACCTCTTTGTCTTTACTGTCAGATGAGGACTTGAGATGCAAGGGTTCTGAGGCTCAGTGTTACTGAAGGACACAGGAGCTTGGCATGGGATTTAAGTAGGAGTTAATTATCGCTCTGCTGTCACCTCACCTGCAGGGACCAAACTTCTGTAGTTCCCTCAGGCTGCCCTTATCACTCACTGTTCTCCATTCTCCCTGGGGCTGTGGGCTCTGTCTCACCACATGTCATCAAGTGCCTCTCAAGTGTCTTGACTGTGCTGAAGAACTTGGCACTTATCCATTCCCACCCACCAGCCAGGACCCACAGACTTTCTTTTTCTCTCTGGCTCTTTTCATTAGGAATTCTTGTTGCACATCAAAAACTATTCATGTTTGTTTCTTATATTTTTAATTCAACCTATGTAATAAGAAGATTTTAACAAATAATATTTACTTTGTTTACAACAGATGTCCCTGATCCTCCTCAGGCACCAAATGTGACTGAGGTGGGTGAAGACTGGTGTATTATGACCTGGGAACCTCCAGCAAATGATGGTGGATCACCCATTTTAGGTAAGTTTGTTTTTTGGTTGTTTTGTTGTTGTTGTTGTTGTTGTTTTGCTTTGGTTTGGTTTGTAGTGATGTTCTAATAAAGACAAAAGAAACAAATCCCAAATAGTGGATGAAATAGGATCAGAGTTTATCTCAGGCCCTGGAGGGTTGCACTGGGAGTATCCAGTTGCGAGAATGTTCTACCTACTCTTTGACTTTATCAGAAATTAGTTTATCTATTGTGTTGAGTTTTGTCATTTTGTATGTTGCCACACTATCACACTCCCTACTTGAAAGACAACCTCTTATAAAATAAAAATTATAACTGTTATTAGCCTGTTTGAATGTTGGAAGGAACTTTAGAAACAATTTACAGAGTAAATTGGAGTATCTTCTAATACACTGTACCAAGAGGAAAGGCCCAGAGGCCAATAGGCTTAGGCTCTTTTCATTCTGAACTAAACACAGCAGTGTTGTAAGTGAAGTCCAAAAAAATGCTCCTATGTGACCATGAAAGCAAAACAGGTGACTGTCAGATAGTTGCAATGGGGAAAATTTAACAATAATCCCTAAATCACTCTGAGACTAGAAGGGGATATGGAGATGTATCCAGAAAAAAATGCCATTTGGAAGTCAAAAACCAGACCCTTCACTATTAAGCCTTATGCCATCACTTACTATAATAAAATTTTGTTTGGTCAATAGGATATTTCATAGAGAGGAAAAAGAAACAAAGCTCCAGGTGGATGAGGCTGAATTTTGAACTGTGTAAAGAAACAACTTTTGAGCCAAAGAAGATGATTGAAGGTGTTGCTTACGAGGTCCGTGTGTTTGCTGTTAATGCAATAGGCATGTCCAAACCGAGTATGCCTTCAAAGTCCTTTGTTCCTTTAGGTAAGTAATCAAGAGCACAGAGACAGGCATCCATTTACAACATAATTATTAATACATTATTATAGTCCTCTAATTACGTAACTGTAGCTCTTGTGGCACTTGTGTTGCTCAGGATCTGTCTTTATGAGGTGCCTCATAAAGTACATGTCTATCTCTGGAACGACAGTCTTTTATAAACAAGAGTCAAGGATGCGTAGACAGAAGAATGGTGCACTAAAATAAACCAGTGAAATACTATAGGTGAGCCTGATATGGTCAATGCTGCAGTCAATGTGTTTTAAGGACCAGAACTGACAGTCCCACATTTTTGTGGGACTGTCATAGGCACATCCTGAATCAACAGAGTCAAACTATTGCCAGTCAGACTGGCAATTTAGAGAAAAGGTAAAGATGATGAATCACAGGCAATCAGGGGCTTTGGGGCCAAAAATGGTCAGGAAAAATGAGAAGTCTAAAGATCACTATTTGCAGGCTGCACTGTGTGAAAATAAGGCTTTCTTTCACATTTCACTATTTAGGCTTTGCTACACAGTACCTTGCCATTTTAAAATGTACAGGTAGTCACAAATAATTCATACATTTCCATTTTTAAAATATCAGAGGTCATAAAGGTAGAAACCCATGAGAAAAAAATTTGCCAAATTTTGCAACTAATCACAGGATAAGACACATTGGAACAGTCCCTACTTTCACTCTATGCCCCATCAGCTTAAGCAGGGACTTTTTTCCCAGAAAGGGATCACATATTTTTAATATCCTTTTGCAGACAATCCAGATTTATACTATTCTAAATGTCGTCTTACTGCTTTTTATTAATGTAAAAGCTAGAAGGCCTTGTCATTCACCTAGTGACAGACTAATTCCACAGCATCTTCATATAAAGAAACAGATTTTCAAACTATTGTGACAACCACAACTCCCTGTGAAAGAATGGTGTCTTGTTCTATAGGCCAGCAAAGGTTCCCACCTTGCTCAGCAGCACCTCCAGAACGAAGAGGAGAGGGAAGAAGGTGACTGTTACTGCTACAGCATGCATTTCTTGACAGAAAATACCTGCTATGGTAGAATACACTGCTCCAGACTTCTCTGCTCTACCCTCCACAGTTCTTTGCCCTTCTCTCTCCTCATCAGGAGGAATTTATCTCTGGGTTAGGCTGTGAGCCGATATGGGATGAGGTAGCTGCTTCTCCTCGTGTGGTCCTAGTTGAAAGAAAGGTGTGCCAGGGATGATTTGAAATCATCCCGGTGGCAGGATTTAGCCTGTCACCTATGATGCTAAATTAGAGGAATACAGGCCATAAATGTAAACCTTTAATGGTAACACAGTTTTCTGCCCTCTCCCTGCTGCCTGCTTGCTTCAGCTGTTACCAGCCCACCGACCCTCCTGGCAGTGGACGGAGTGACTGATACCACGGTGACAATGAAGTGGAGGCCGCCAGACCAGATCGGAGCGGCAGGGTTAGACGGCTATGTTGTAGAGTACTGCTTTGAAGGAAGTAAGTGAGAACACCTGGGGTATGTTACTCATGGTGAAAGTAGGTGAGACTTTCTCCATTTTTTTCTCTACGGGTATCAGGTGCTGTCACTGTAAGGCAGAGACCAGTCAGTCAGAAAACCTCAAGCAGCAGGGTTTTATTCAGGCTTCCTTTGGTTTGTATTCCAGATCCCACCCACTGATTGAAGTTCAACATATCTTATATTTGATCTGAAATCCAAATCAAAAGCCATATAATCTGTTGCAATGTACCAAGTACCATGTTAATAGCTATCTTCTTTTAGAAACTAAGTGAAAGTCAAGGCAGTAAAGAGTGGATGGATGCATTAATGTATAGGAAATAATGAGTGTGGTCCAAAATATGTTCAGGTGGGGTTTAGGGTCAGGAAATCCTCAGTGTGGCAGTCTCTATGTTGAAATACCACTAATTGGCTACTTCAAGCACAAGTTCCCCACACTAAGGACAGACAGCCTCTCCTATAGTTTCCTGTAGAAGTTATCTAGGCATATAAAGTTCATGTCTAGATATTTAATTTCTCCAGTGTTTCAGTGCAGTCATATATGGGATCTTCAACTATGTCCATCTAAGACAAAAATCGATATAGAACCGAAGGAGAAAGATAAAGACGTAAGAGACTGAATAAACATTTGAGTGTAGGGAAATACATTTTACAACTAATATGTTGTAAATATTGTCTTTGGTGATCAAGTAGAAGAAACTTAGTCTTTTCTAGCAGATTTTTTTCTTAACTGGCATCAAATGAAGTCTATTCTCAAAAAGTAAAATCCACCAGCACGTGGGTAAGTATAAAATAGCCTGGAGTGGTATGTGCAATACCCAGCCTCTGTGATCCAACACCATTGACTGCAGCAGTGTTGTGGATGTGGATGAATGGGACATAGTTATCTTCAGCTCCACTATCTGCTGCTCTTAAATGTGCTGTAAATTGAGTTACAGGTTGAATATCTCTTTTCACAAAGGCATTTGTTTCAATGAAAGCTTCTCATGAATGCAGTCTATAGCTTGGAGACAAGAGATAGAGGACATTGTCATTCACATTGTCACATGTTTCAGATTCAGACAACCCAGGAAAACAGTAGTTCATAAAAGTGGTCAGATGCCACAGGATAAGAGTGCACTCAGCTCTCTCTCAGGCGAGTGGGAGAGGGTGTGAAGAAGAACCACTGGCTTTTCTCAGGAGCACTCAGCATCTTGTAGTATTTAGCTGAATATCTTTAAGGAGCAGAAACACACTGCAAGAAGCTCAGAGACCTCGAGAAGAGTACCTGAAGGCAAACACAGCTGGAATGGTAGGAAAGGTTTTCCTTGCATATTGGGAGGGAGCTGCGGGAACATCTCAGAACGAGTAAGCATGCAGTCTTCCATTAAGATGCAGTATTCCTATATTATTTCCATTCACAGGCCAGATGTAGGGGAATATAAAGGGAACTGTCAATGCGAGGACTTCACTGTATACTTTATATTCTGCTTTGTTTAGCACTGGTAGAATGACAGGGAAAAGTTACAAGTGCTTGTAATATGCTACTTTCATAAACCCCTTGACATTACAGTGTGTGATATCCAAATAAGGGGACAAGAGAGAACCTTCCTAATCTATCTTTAAAGGACTGTTAGACAGAAGATCATTTTATACCTGTTGAATGGAACAAATTCTTTTACTTTTTTTTCCAGATAGGCTTAAAACATATGAAGATACAACAAAATGGCAATCATCTGCCATTTTATTGTAACCCATCTCAGTTAAAATACAATGGGTACAATGTATTTTACATAGTTTTCTGAGTGTTTATGTATATCTATATATGCCTCCTATATATGCATATACATCTATATATACACAATTGACATTATGTATATATGTTATAAAAATGCTTAGGAAGAAGCAAGATAAGTAGAAAATACCAATTTTAAAAGTCATGTTACTGCATTATAAATTTTTCTCTCTATATAAAGTCTTTTTTTCTTTTCTTGCAATATCTCAGTGCCTCTTTTTCTTGGTCTTTTCAGTGCCTGTTCTGCCTCAAACTAATTTTTTTCTGTAATATTTAATAACTCTTTTTAATTTCAAGGTACTTCTTATGACTGTCTATATTCATTCTAATGTTCTGTTCTCTTAGTTATCTGTTTGTAAACTCATTTGTCTTTACATTCTCCATTCTTTCATTGTTGTCACTGAACTACTTTTAAAGAGGGCTTTTTTGACTCTTCCTTAGCATAGCAATCATTAGGAAAAATCACAAGCTGAAAAGAGAAGGACAAAAATTATATAAAGATAATTCAAAAGAATAATGAATCATGAACATTGGTTTGGCTTTGCAAAAATTGATATTTCCCTTTAGTCTGAAGCTCATAACTTGATCAACGTGGTGGACTTTTGGACTTCCTTACTAGTTTTGACAGCTCTCTGTGTTTATTACTGAATTAGAGTCTCATCAGGAGTATCTGGATCCAGCACTGCATAGATGTGACTAACAAGAATAGAGAACTCCCCAGGTCTAGTTTTCAACGTCCAACTTGAACCTTTTGCTATGGTGATGTGGAGTAGATCAAAATCTTGTTGATACTGGAGAAGTCAGTTAGTAACAAAGTATGCTGATGACTGGTTCTTGTGGGACATTTCAAGGGTAGTGTGAGGACCTGGACCCCAGTGTTCCCTAGGACACTGTGTTTATCTGCTTTTAATGGGCTATTGTACCTGCAGATGATCTGTTTCCATAGCTAGTAAATAAGCACTTCAGAGAGTGTCTCTTGGCTGAGAACTTTGCCAGTGTACTCATCCAGGACCATGCACAGATACTAGAATAGTATTTTTATTATCCTGAAAATAACCAACTCCAGGATTACAGGAAATCCAGGACAGGGATAGCTTCCAGGAAATAAAGCCTTAGGGTCTATGTCATATCTGTCATCATCCATGGGTTTGGTCTTCTTTAATCTTCTATGTTGACTTTAGCTAAATGTGTTCTCTTCCTCTGTTTCCTCAAGTTTTTTTCCAAGACCTCTTTTTTTTCCTGTCTCTTTTACTCAGAATTTATCTCTGAATTTCTTATCTCTTCTATGATCTGTTTTCTTCTCCATCTACACTTTCTCCTATCATCACTTTGTTTCATTTCTCTCTTCCAAATGTTCCTTTTGTCTCTTCATTTTCATATTTCTAGGGCTATGCTCAGGCCCAAAGAAAACATACAAACTTATCTCCTCCTCTTCCTTTATCCTTTAGCTTTCCTGTGGGCATCACATATAACTATGCTGTGATCTGGATGCCCTCTTCCCATCTCTCTTCTCCCTGCAGTCTCTCTAAATATGGGTCCTCTAAATCTTTAAAGCCCAGCATCTATCTTTGCATACTTACTAACAGGAATTGCTAACCACTGACAAAATGCTCCATCTATGTGAAAGTGGGTGTCTCTGATTAATTTTAAAGATGGATTCTCACAAGGTATATCGACAGATCTGTCTGAGGAATTGCTGGAGCCGCCTTTTAACCTGGAAGGTACAGTATTCAACAAAGGATATAAATCTTCTTTAACAAATGAAAAACTCTCTTCATAAAAGTAAAGATAAATGCCTGAGAGTGAATTTTAGGGGCAACATTCTGCAGAGTTTTCTGTAGTTCATGTGTAATGGGAGGGGGAGGTTCTTGGGAAACAGTCATCAATTGCAATCCTTTTCTGCTAGAAGCTGAAAGAAGCAACTTGAAGGAGAAGTTTATTCCTAAAAGTGAGACACACATTATGAAAAAATATCATAACATTATACTCTGAATCTGCAGGGCTCTCTAGTTTATAATAGTTCTCTTGTCTTCTGTGCCCATTTTATAATGCCATCTTTATATGACATGGAAAATATTGATCCTGACTTGGTAGTTCATAAATCTGGCTCCAATGTCCAGGTGCCAGCAGTGTTAGAGCAGCCTATATTGGGAGGACAGGGTGGATAAGAAAGTGTCATTTGTAATTGAAGTTCTTGTAAGAGACTGTTAGGATTGCTCCATGAATTACATGCAACTGCCTAGGGGTAGGATTAAAAATCCAAGAATGCTGTAATTATGTGAATAATTCTGACACAGCCTTCCTTTTTTAAAGGCACAAGGAGAGATGGCATTTCATTGCAATATGTAAATATTCTGTGTTTCTCTTATTTCTCAGTTCTACTTCCAAGGCTACTCAGTACTGGTTGAGATTAATTGCAAACCCCATTTCTCTCCAAGGAAGCTGTTAAAGAAATGATGAGTGCTTTTGGAAATATACTCTTTGTCTCCCTTCTTTTCTACCAGCTGAATTAAAAAACTAACCAGTTTTCTTTCTGCCACAATTAAATTATAGACATATTCTAATAACATTTGTATCATTATATATAAATATATAATCATCAGGAACTTCTTAAGGTTTGAAACATTATTCCTATGTATGAAAGTGAATCTATATTGTGTTACAGCTTAATCAGAAAAACAAAATGGAATTATTCATTAGAAACTAATGTGTCTATTACTGTTCTGTAATTTTCCTCATCCATGCAGTGGGTGTATTTATAATTCCCTGTTCTTTCAATTTGTCCTCCTCCCTCCATTTCCCTAAATTAGCCGATGAATGGATCGTGGCAAACCCGGAGCTGACAGACAAAACGAAGTTTACTATCACTGGCCTGCCCACTGGCTCGAAAATCCTTGTGAGAGTAAAAGCTGTGAATGCTGCTGGTGAAAGTGAGCCCAGGTACCACCCACAGCCTATTTTAGTCAAGGAAGTGATAGGTAAGATCCTCCTGCCTACACTTAACCCCCAAAAACACTCTGTTTCCGTACTGAGACCTGGTTTTTTTAAGGTTAATGCTTAATTGTTGTTGGAAAGTGATGATACAGCCTTACAAAGCCATTGTGTGGTGGCTAGAAATCATGACACCACCTTTAAAAAATTTCACAATTATTTTTATTTCTTTAATTTCTGAACCTTTATTTCTCAGTTTTTCAGGGCTTTTTTTTTTTTTTTTCTGCAGAACTTGAACTTGATGGTGCCTTTTTAAAGTTGCACTAAATTTCTCACCTATTCCTACCACCACAGCATTTGTTGTTCTAAAAGCTGATAGTGTACTAAATGTAACACTCTGGGACAAAGAAATTTAAGATACATCACACATTAGTCACCTCTGCGAATTGTAGACCACATAGTCTCCTTTTTATATTGCTGCCCACCAGTGCTGCCTCAGTTAGAAAAGAAGATAAATGTAAAGCCCAAGTTGTTTTTTTTTTTTTGTTTTCCCCAGAACCTCCTAAGATTCGTCTACCAAGACACCTAAAACAAACATATACTCGAAGAGTGGGAGAAACTGTGAATCTTGTTATTCCTTTCCAGGTAAGAGTTAAAAAAATTATCCTTGGTTTGTTTTTTTTTTTTGGGGGTGGGGTGGGGCGTTTGTGGTTTTGTTTGTCTGATTGTTTGTTTGTTTTTATACGGATGCTTTTTAACTTACTTCTCTGTAACTTAAGCAGTGTGGAAGCACACTGAAGCACTGAGGTGTTTGAAAGCTTTTGCTCTGACATCCCAAAGAAATTATGTTCAGCCAAGTAATGAATTGGGTAGCTAGATCAGACAGACTGATTGGTCATCTGTCATCCAAAGGACACTTATAAATCCTTACAGTAAATGTTACATGTGAGATAATTGCTAGCACAATGCAAAGTGCTTAGCACTGTTAGATATAGTTGTCACAGGTGGAACAGTAGTGTTTAATAATTTTCTTGAGAGAGGAAAAGTGAGGGGAGGAGTGGGCAGACTGCAACTTTTCAATCCTTGTGATCACAAATATGACTATTTCTAAACATATAGTGTGTTTTCCCACAGTGTCATGTTAACCTTCATTCCCACACCTCTTACAACACTGACTGCCTATCAACTTGCAGAGCCCTTCTGGATACAAGAATTAAGGAAGAATTCATTTCTTTTTCATGTTTGCACACTTAAAGATACTGGGTGGGCATAACTCAGTTTTTATAAGGCTGATTAAAGCTTTTTAAAAATTTGATCAGCAAAACACTGCAAGCTACACTTCTCTTGAGAAATTAAAGGAACATTAAAATCTATGATTAATTAAAGAAATTAAAGTCTATGGTTATTTTCTAAAATAAGGCATCCAAAGCAGTGTGAGAATTACCCTTTTCAGACAGCATCTACAAACTGCCTCTAGAAGGCAAATCCCATGGTAAAGCAGGTGGAATTCACTCTAAATTAAGTACCTAAATTGGGCACTTAGACATTAAAAAAATGGCAAACAAAAGATGTCAATCCAGCCTACCTAACAGCTATTCCAGCTTCTTTTGCAACGAAAGAAAAGAGTTTAGGTTCCCTAGAGGCTTAGTCTACTATTTCCCTCTTTCACTGGCAGCGTAGAGAATGCATGAACTCCCACAGGGTGAACTACTTTATTCTGTATTTTCTGTGAGTTATTTTTTCTCCTTTTTATTTTAGAAAACTGGAAGTTATCAAATTTAGCCAGAAAGATAATTGCTCAGTATAGGTAGAATGTGCAAATATTTTCAATGTCCTGGGGGAAAAAAAGGGAAAGAAAGTTGTATTTCAGATGAATTGGTATGATTGCATCTCTAAATGCTGTATATTTTAAAAAAGAATTTTTTGTTTCTTTCAGGACAGACAGATTTTATTTCCTGTTTGGGAAAAATGGGAAATAAACCTGTTTTTTTTCCTTCCCTTTTCTCTCCAAAAATCATATAAAAATTGTTTCCTGGCTTCTTGCAGGGAAAACCGAGGGCAAAAGTATCATGGCAGAAAAATGGTTCTCCAATCGACAAGAATGAAATCAACATCCGCAACACTGAAAATGACACCATCATCTTCATCCGAAAGGCAGAGAGGGGGCACTCTGGAGAATATGATATGACAGTGGAAGTAGAGAACCTGGTGGACAAAGCTACGATAGATATTCAGATTGTTGGTATGTTTTGAGAAACAGAAATAAATCCAGACATTCCAAGGCTATAAGAAAAACAGGAATCCCAAAGAACATCTTTCTTGATAGTGGTGACTCCACATCCAATTACTTGGCTGTAGAATTGTGGACTTTAAGTAAATCTCCATATATAACAGAAGGTGCTTGTTGAAACATGTCAGTCTCTTTTTTCACTGTCATGCTCTTCATGTTCTTGCATATCCAGGATGGAAGGTTTTTCCTGTTGAGGTACCCATAGCCAGAAATGGTAACAAACTCATATTAAGTTTGTCACAAATGTAGTGTACAGATCTTAAATGTTGAAAATACGTGAAGGTAGGAAAGACAGGCAAGAAAACACACTTACTTTTCATTTTTACCAATCTATTTCTTTACATGGTAGTCAAAACTGGTAGCACAACTTTAAATATTAAGTCTATTGCAATTCTCAGGCCTTAACTTTGGAAAGTTTTATTTTGCAACCTTTGTTTTGACATTGGTCTTGGGGTTTTTTTGCATGCCTGTGTTGCAAGAAAGAGAGAAAATAAACTAAGTGGAAGATGTGTGTAGGAAAAAGACAGAGAAAGCAAACGTAGAAAATGTCAGCTGCCATATTTTTGTTACAGATCGCCCAGGCCCACCAGAGATTGTAACTATTGAGGATGTCTGGGGAGAGAATGTAAATTTATCATGGAAGCCACCAAAAGATGATGGAAATGCTGCCATTACTGGGTATACTATTCAAAAAGCAGATAAGAAGAGTATGGTAGGTAAAAAGGAGATGTTTAGAAGGTTGATGTACTCATGAATTCTCCCTTTTAAAAACAAAAACTGTTACATGCTTAAAATTATGTAGGTGGACAAAGCATTGATTTATCAGCATTCAGAGATACTGCAAGACATCTCTAAAACCTCTAAAAATTTCTTGTTCACTATAACTAAAGGCTACAAATGAAAATGTTTTCAATTATGCGAAAGAAGAGGACTAAAAAAGGACAGATGGATTTGAGAGAAGTAATTCTGCATTTTTCACTTGTCTCAGTAGAGAAAATAAAACCCCAAAAATATTAATTCTCAAGTCAGGATGTTGCTACTAGAACAAACTATTGTACCAGTGCTGCTGTTTTCAAATCTCTAATGTCACATTGTGTGAGTCATTGCCACTCCTTAGTACCCCTGACAAAATGGTACATAATAATTCCTATACTGCTTTGAGATTTACAGATGAAAAGTGTAATACAGAAATGTTTAGTAATTTCATTAAACTAACAAGAATTTTATGCATCCCTAAAAGACAGTAGCTGGATTCTTAGATTTAACATTTGCTGCAAATTTAAACAGTGGAAATCCAGGACAACATTTTGGGAGTGACCTTATCAAGGAGAATCTTTTGGTACCCTCCCCTTTCTCCTTGCACTAATATGTTTGTCTGCTTCATGATCTGATCAGTTCATTCTTCCTGTGCCACTGTTTCCATCTTTCTTTTTTTTTTTTCTTTTGAGACTTTAAGAAGATATGGTCTCTGGTACAGAAATCACAACAATGTCCCCTCTCCCTAAATTACTGTGCTAAGGAGAAAGTAACAACAGCAGACATGGATCATTCAGGTCACAGTTTCCTCACATTATCTGTGATGGTGCATTTTGCAATTCTGGCACAGCTGGCCTTCTACAGAAAACTGTTTTCCCAAAGGAACTTTGGCTCTTAAAGTTGACTAAACATCATTGCAAACTGTGGTACAGGGAACTCAGCAGAAGTTCATCCTGAGAAAAGCAAGAAAACTATGTAGGGCAGAGTAAGGAAAAGCAAAAACTTTGTTGTGGTCCCTTTATATTAACTGAAATTTTAGCATTAATCTCTTTCATCTCAGATTGCTATTGAAGCACTGTGTACTAGGACAGAGTTCACATGTCCTATTACTGCTGCAAGACTAAAGCACTAAACCCCACTTCCCCATATAAGCCTTTAGATATCAGAGGATCACCAGCATAAAACTACATTTCTTGTGAACTCTCAACCTGTGACAGAGAGGGTAGATTAGTGTAGTGGCCTCTTGTGAGTGCATGTTACTGCAGAATGGTACATGCTACTGCCTTTGCTCCAAGGATGCAGTTTTCTTATCTGCAACTGTACTCTCTTTGTCAGCAGCCTGAATTAGGAACGAGAGAGCCTGCCTTGCTCACACAATGTCACCTTTGTAATACTGGATTGCCTAAAACAAACTCTTCCAGCTACCAGAGCGCAACAATTCAGGACGGTTCACTTTCCGTTTGGCCTTCACTGCTCGTCAGTGTTCTCTCTTCACTGCAGTGTTCTCATCATCACTCATTTCATCACTACTTCAGTGTTCACTAACATTCCCTTAAAAAGAAAAACCTACTCCCACAAGCTTGGTGATTCTTCCAGTTCATGTCTGCCAGGTGCAGGGTGCTGTGGGGGAGCTCACCCTCTGTGTTTGTGCCTTTCAGGAATGGTTCACAGTGATCGAGCACTACCATCGCACCAGTGCCACCATCAATGAGCTCATCATAGGAAACGAGTACTACTTCAGGGTCTTCGCTGAGAACATGTGTGGCCTCAGCGAGGATGCAACGATGACCAAAGAGAGTGCTTTGATTGCAAAGGACGGTTAGCTAATTATCCATTCCTTGTCAAAAGGGAAGGGGTGGGGGTGCTCAGAGGCTGGAGGGTGATCAGAGGTAAAGGCCTCTGAAGCATTCAGAGGCATTCCTAGCCCCAAGACCAGGTGCAACCAACAGCGAGGGCACTTCCTATTAAGACTTCATGGTTTGTCCACACAGTTCACAGGTACTGTTTTTAATCAGGAGTGGGACATTTTCCCCATGTTCTGTCATTTCCTATGGTCTTGGATCTCAGACTCAGGTCACCACTGGCAGATATAAGCTGACAAGAGCTGGAAGAGGATTAAAGCAGCTGTTCTGTCAGAAGCGGTGGGTCACTGCCTCCCAGTGGAGATTTGGCATCAGCTGTGCAAGTGCTCCCTCCGTATTAGGCAGGATCCAACAGAAAAGCATAACTCCTGCTTCACATCTCTTGGAGGTGGGGCTGGACAAATTCTGATCCTGCAGTCAAAAATCCTGACATTTCAGAAGCTGTCAGTTTGAAATGGTACTGTAAACTTTAAAAAAACCTGCCCATTTATGGAAGGGGAATTCTACAAACAAGCGGCTCACAGGAAGAAAATCAAACTAGATCACCTCAGTTTGTCTGAAAGGAAGGAATACATGACTGCCATGATGCAGAGGACAGACAACCTGTGCAACCCATACCACCAGACTGAAGAACTGAAGGTCTTCTCTTTTATAAATAGGGTCATGAACAAAGGAGTGGTCATAGAAATTGATTTTCATCACTGCTTACTTGCCCTTTTCTCATGAGAGCAAGTATCAGGCCTAAGCTGCACAGAAGTCAGTATGAGAGCTTGGATCAGGTTTCAGTGAAGCAATGATGTTTGATCATACCTGTGCACAGGAACAGATGTCTGTCTGTCTGTCCAGCTGTTTTAAATGCTGGCTGAGTTTGTGGCTGAAGAGGATTTACTGATGGTAATTTTCACTGCAGAGCAGGGACAAAGTGGTATGAGAAAACACATTTTACTACCATGTTTTCCTTGCACAGAAACTACATCCCCTCAGGTGTCTGTATTATTAGTGCACTGTTTGAAGCAGAAAGAAAAATGGATTTTCAGATACAGGGACAATTTGTAAGTAGAACAAACTGTGAAAAGCAAGTGGCAACAGAGTGAACAACGCTTGTTAAAGATAGGCATCTTGCAGTACATCGGTCATGATCTGTCCTGTTTTGTAACATGCAGGGCAAACAGGCAAAGACAAGGAATATACATGTGTTATTTGGTTATATACCACCTGCACAGGAAATAAAGAGAAGCTCTCAGGCATCAACACTATAGCATGGCCAGGGGCTATAGTCACTTTGCAGGTGCACTTCCAGCCTCCCCTACAAGTGCAATTACTAGAGTCACAGCGCAGATCAGAACTGACTCCTTGTAGCCATTTAAGATTCTTGGGTATTTATCTACACGCCAACACTCTTTTTTATAAATTTTTTATTTTCCTTTCATAGGTAAAGTCTACAAATATCCAGTTTACGACGATTTTGACTTCAGTGAACGGCCGTTGTTTACTCAGCCTCTAGTCAACACCTTTGCTATCGCTGGGTACAATGCTACTTTGAACTGCAGCGTTCGGGGCAACCCCAAGGTACAGCACAGCTCCTGACCACATCACTTAAAACATGAGAGAGTTCAACCTGACAATGCAAATTATAATACCACTTTTGCCATTTGCCTTGCTCACAAGCCAGGCTGAAGGCAAAAATACAAAAAAAAGACCTACACTACTTGTGCTGTAGGCACTAAAATAGTTAATCCACAAATAACTCAGTGAAAGGGCAGAACCTCAGGAAAAGACTGGGCTATCCTGGGACCCACACTGACAACAGCTGTAAAATTAATATATCAGTAAAGGTTATTACAAAAATAAAGCCATAATTATTCCATAAAAAGCTAATTATTCTTTAAGTAAGCACATTGCAGGAAATACTCTGGGGACCACGTTGTTTCTTAGACCCACTGCACAATGTGTCTTGTAGTTTCTTTTGAACTGTGTCTTTTCGTGATCTCTTCTCGATTGTGAGAAGCTGGCCTAGTAAAATGAGAACTCCAGAGTCGTTAAGAACATGTTTGCTGTTCACTCTTCACCTTCACAGTTTCTGACTGTGCAAATTGCTGCAGAAAAACATGCTTTTCTTGTTAAATCAGAGTAATTGGGTGTCAAAAGCTATTGCTCAGATGTTTGCTATCATTGCACAGTCCTTGTTGTATTGATAACAGGCTTATATTTATGACTTTAATTATGTGATAGGAGTTGCACTGAAAAAAATATCGTACTTAAAAACGGATGTATGATGCAGCTCACGTTTATCTTTGAGTTAAGAATTAGTTTGCCTTCTATCAGTACTTCATCTCTTTTCCATAATTTCTGGATTGTTTTAACTGAACACCACAAAGAAGTGATAAAATACTTCAGTTCACAATTTGTGCATGTGGGCTTTCTTTTCTTTTTCTTTTTGTTTTTTTTTTACCACAGCCGAAAATAACCTGGCTGAAAAACAAAGTCCTTATAATGAATGACCCAAGGTACCGAATGTTCAGCAACCAAGGTGTCTGTACCTTGGAGATCCGCAAACCCAGTCCCTACGATGGAGGTACTTACACCTGCCGAGCAGTCAATGAACTTGGAGAGGCAGAAGTGGACTGCAAACTGGAAGTAAAAGGTAAGGTCTTTAAAACATTGCAAAGGCCCCATTTGTCTAAATTGGAGCTGAAAGTACACAAGGCAAATGCAAAAGGGAGTTCAAACAGCTTTTTTTACCTTCCTATATTCAAATAATAACTTTTTTAAGGACAAAAGAAACTGTAATGTTTGCTTTGTTTTCTTTTTGAGGACCAGCCTACTACGCTTATGCTATATTTTGTTTTCCTCAGTGCCGATTCACATCTTCAGTGATTTCAAGGACTTCTTTGCAAATGACAGAATGGTAGACTGTAACTCTCAGAGCTGTGACATTTACCTGAGACTCCAGTAAAACTCAGTCATAGAGCTCTCTGGGAAAACATTAAGAAAGCCATCTCAGATAAGAGGCATTTCTCTGAAAGAAATGGCAAGGGGAGAAGGAGAGAAAGAAGAAGGATTAGCTCAGGGCAGAATTGGTCTGCTTTAAAACTATTTATTAAACAAACCAAACATTTACATCCAAGGAACTTTGTTCGCAAATCATGTAGCAAAAAGTAGTATTGTTTCCAAGGACACAAACTAGTTGATATAATTGCTGCATTTTCTTTAAGAACAGAGTCTATAAAACCATGGCTTTTGCAAAATCCTTCTACAACTGAAGAGCTATTTTTGATTTTATTACCAGATAAATTTTATGAATTTCATGTAGTTTAGAATTGACTGGAATATCATGAATGCCAAATGGATCTAGGTTGGACTACTTACGAATAATCTCACGACCATATTTTCCAGAAAATTTCTTCCTAGGAAAAGATGGGGTTGTATTTAGCTGGACTAATTCCCACCAAAGGCTTTAGTTTCAACTGTCAAATAAGCTAAGTATTTCTGAAAAAATTAATCTGAGGTTATAATTAAGGAAAGCTGGCTAAAGCTAGCTAATAGGAAGTGTCTAACTAAGGAATTTAGAGGGGATTTAGGTGATATCAATATGGCCCTAATTATATTACTTCCATCATGCTAGTCTATAATGAAAACCACACTTAATATTTTTATGGATTCTATTGTGCTTACTTCAATTTCCATTTTCTGTATTTTCTGATGTATCTTGTCCCACAGCTCAAATTTGCCAGCAAGAAGACATTTCAATAAATGTTTGGATTATGAAGTTGAACATTTAATGTAATAGAAATATGCATAATATGTTTCTTAGTTTTTATCATTTAAGATACTGTGTTTAAAAGGTGATGCCCTTGTACTGCAAGATTGTTTTCCTTAATCAGAAGCAAACTCTCTATTTCAGAGTATAACAGAAGACCTCATCATCTGAGAAGATTGCTTAGTCTATCTTTTTTATACTGAAAAGCCAAGTTAGGTTGTTACTTCATTAACCTTTTTAAGTTCCCAAGCCCTAAGATTCTTATGCACATTTACACTCGGTTGTAGTTTTTCAGTCTTCAGCACTTCGCTTATAGCACAATCAAATACTACGTTTTAAACACGAGAAGATGTTCATTTATGTCCTTTGTTTTACCAGTAAGTTTTTTGCATATAATGTTCAGAAAATAATGTGTTGTTTATCTCTTATTAGCCATATGATGGGCTGCTTCCTTAAACTAAACCCCACCTTCCCTAGCTCATGGTTCAACTGACGGATTCAAGGTGAACAGGATTAAGTGAATACAGCAGCTGGGGCTTAGCAAACCAGGGTAGGCTCAGGGTTTGCAAATATAGCAAATTCCTATTAAACAGCCAGAATATAAAACCATAATTACATCTTATTTCTCTCTTCTACTGACTAACATGTTGAATTATCATTCTTTTAAGTTTCCCAGCCTGTTTGTTCATTTAGGAGGGTTCTTCGGATGATTGCTCATCACACTGATGCAGAGCAGAGACCTACGGATTTCTGACTCACTGGAAATGAATTGCAGTGTGTGTCTGTTTGTGTTTTCATTTGTATAGTTTTTAATTGGTTCAGCTTTATTCCAGCAAGCAACAATCAAGGTCTGGATTTGTAAGATGATGAGATAGTTGAATGTTGCCTGAATAAGACTAACAGGGTCAAGGCTATGCTACCTATCTGGTGAATGCACAAGGTACAGTGCTATTACTACAAATAGTAGGTATTATTTACTTACTAGTAAGTCATGCTAAAGAGCTCTATGCCATGCAACAGCACATATCCTAGCAAGCTATTTTTCCTTACATTGGCTAGAATTACTTTCGGCCATCTATCTCTGACATATGGGAGATCTGAAATTTATCGTGCATATACATGCTCAGCCCCAGGAATGTCACAGAACAGCCTAGCATTTCTGATTTTGCATAATACTTGAATAACTGACTAGCTAAGAACACTCTGGCTATGAATGCTATCAGGATGCTACATATTTCTACATTATTAGCCGTTTTCTTACACTACTTTAGGTGTAAAAGCAATGGCCCCTAGTCATTGCTAGATTTAATTCTCATTTCCTGAAACTTATGAGCACAACAACTGAAATAATAAAAACTAATTCTGTCCTCAAAAGAGGGTTTGCATGTACTGATGTTGTTTCAGATAGACAGTATTTCATTCTTTGGTTTTAAGTTTTGCTGGGTGAACTTAAAGATGGTAGTTATACGAGCTGCTCTGTACAATTGCACATACAGTGGCCTTTTTGTAAATATAGGTGTGCTGTAAAAAGCCATGTAACAGATCTTAGAGAAGAGAATAACTCTACCTCATCTATCTTGAAAGATAATGCATAAACCGAATCTCATTCCATGTTTCATACTCATCTTACCACAGAAAACAACATATATATCTTCTGAGTTTGTTGAGCTAGATACCTAAATTTGGCTCTAAATCTCACGTTAGAAGCAGTAAGGAACTGATTCCTTATCAGTCTCACTGAGGTCAATGAAAAGAATTAGATAAGGCGCTGTACTTCTTTTATCACAAAAAAAATGGCGATGGAGGACTTTTATCTTAAAAGTGAAATCCAGGTTGGTGATCACTCTGACTGGTTGGTGATAGCAAACTTGCTGTATAAGAAATATTTTTTTAAAAGGTGTTAAGATCAACTGAGAAGAATTTCAAATGCGAATAAATACCACTATAAATATTCTAATTCTGCAGTGATCTATCATGGAGTAATTAACCCAGGAGAACCAATCTGCTTGGCGGGGAATAATCAGGTTTATAATGTGCATACTCCTCTGGACATTCCATTTCATTCCCTTCCTCTCTTTCCACATGCAAACGCATTTTCTGCATGCAAAGTGTGTATTTATTTCCTTTTTTGAATAAACTAGCTAGTGTCTCATGGCATAGACTGTCTATGTTACATGAGCAAAGAAGGCCAAATTAATCAAGAATATGGATATTTAACATCAGAATTACTAAGGTTTTAGACACATTTCATAGGACTACCTGTACCTATAAAGAATTTATTTAATGACTGTGAATACCTTTGACCACAACACTTAGACCTTTCCAGAAGAATGAAATTTGCATTTAAAAAAAACATCTTTCAGTTAGTTTGTAGAATTATTGAAGGAACAGAAGCATCATAAAGTCATTTGCTGCGCTTAAAAGGCATTCTTTATTACAGATTAGTTTTTGGTTACAAATTAGTGCTCAGAATGACAATCCATACCTGAGCTTAACCTACTTAATTTAAGGATGAAATCTTGACTTAATTACTTACAAGTAAAACATTTTACTTCATTTACTTTATTTCTTCTAGAACTTATTTTACATTCAAGTTTAGTGGGGTTCAGAGATTTTTGCTCTTTGTATGGAAATGAGTTTTCTTGCAACCTTGCCCAAATGTCAAAATATTGACAGTGCAGTTTTAAAATTACAGCGATGCCCAGAAACCAGTCTGTATTATATTATCACCCAAACTTAAAATTCCAAACCTAAAACAGAAACCTAAAATGTTAGATCAGACTAGATAAGGTTCCTGCAGCTTTTGAAGTACCAGGGTCTTTTTCTTAAAAGGTTACAATAGTTACCAAGTTGAATACCTTTACATAAATACACATATATAAATGTATATATACGGTTGTTTTATAGATTCAAAATGTTTAATTAAAGGTAAGGGCTCCTTCAGAGTAAATAGCATGCTTTAAGTAATGTAAATGTGGATATATGACAAAGTACATACTCTAGTGCACAGGTATGTAATTAGTCTGTACTTGATTATTTTGCCTTACAGAGTTTCCACATATATATATATATATATATATCTCCTTCAGTGTTTTCTGTGTGTGCTTTTTTCCCTGGTGGAAAATACTATATATATATATGTGTTAGCTTCTTTGAAGCTACATTTGGAAACCTTTGTCATAAATATAGTTTGCATAATTTGGTTCCAATCTATACTTTAGACTAATTACAGGTTTTATAGTTACTTGTACATATTAATATAACTTTTACATATTAATGATAATTTTGAAGTGGAACTGGATCCCTACCTTTTACTCTTCATGTGCTTCTATTCCTACATATTTTACATGACTAAGGATTAAATTATCATCTTGACATAATTGTAATAATAATTTCACTCAATATTTTCTCTCTACTTTTGTGTTTGCAATTAAATTATTCCTTCTCTTTCTCTCTCTCCCTTAGTAATCCCACAGTAAGGATTTTTGAATGTATATTGTCATCTAAGGTAAGCTTTCATATGGTTCTTGCATATGAAGCTTATGTCTGTTTACAGGTCATACAATGTCTGCCTAGTATGGCATGATTTTCATTATGTCACTTAATGAAAATGTTTTTTACAGTTAGTAGACTGATAATTTTAATGCATATAAATGCAGATTTTTATAATAATTGCTTGTTACAGTAATTCTTCTTAGTAGTACATCCCACTATCTTCTAATGGTGCATGTTTCAATGAAATCTAACAGTGCATGAGTTAGCATGATTAATTAGCATGAATAAATACAGGTAATAAAAGAGCATTTTGCATTTACAGTAAGTTATTTTTTATAGGAATATACCTCTACATAAATGAAATATTTATTCCACAGTTAACTCCATTTAAAAATGAATGACTCGTACTCGGACAGCTCATGCATTCCATGAGCTGAAAGAATGCCAAAAAGCATGCTTCTTTTTTTTTTTTTTTTTGGTCTGTATTGTGCATCTACCTTCGGTTGGGAGCGAACAGTTCTGCCACAATGATGGTGTTAAATGAGACAGTGCAGTCTCATAATTGCTAGTAACTAATAGCACTTTAATTGGATAATCCTTGTGTTAATAAAGGTTATAAATTCTTAAAAATCCATACTCGGGATAAAAGCTGTGTGTAAGTATCAGCTCAATTGCATTTAGCTGAAGCACTCAGTGTTACCTTCATCCTGGCAATGTACTTTTGCTTTAAAGCTTTTGGTGTGTTCCAGAAAAAGCTCAGAAGGTAAGTGCAGTTATCAGCGGGTGGTTTTCAACCTACAGAACACGATGTTCATGCAGAGTTGAAAGGGGAATAGCAATGGTATACAGCTTTTTTATGAGCAAATGACACCATTTGTCTGGAGAAGGGGCAGGTTCTAAAGTTTTTAGCAAAATATTTATCTTTCCCTGTTTCTTCCAAATATCATTTGGAAATCATCTAATTAATATCAATTAAATGAACAGAAATACTCATGTGTTTAGTTTCTGTGATGACTATTTCAGTCACATGGGGCACCCACAACCTCTCTGGGCAATTTGTGTCAGTGTCTCACCACTCTCACAGTAAAGAATTTCTTCTTTGTATCTAGTCTAAACACACCCTTTTTCAGTTTGAAGCCATCACCCCTTGCCTTATCACTGCATGCCCTTGTGAAAAGTCCCTCTCCATCTCTCTTCTAAGAGGTACTAGAAGGTGCCGTAAGGTCTCCCTGGAGCCTTATCTTCTCCAGGCTGAACAACCCCAACAAAAAGCAAAATTCAAAGGCGAATTTAAAAGAAAATCCAAAATGATTCTTCAGACTTCCCCAGCAGATTGAAGTTTCAACTTTCATCATCTCTCTCTGGAGGCTAAAGGCACCTTTATGTAAAATCCTGACTTTTTTCCATATGAAAAATTATTTCACATACATCATCCCAATTGTTATTTTCAAGTAGCATGGTAAATATTTTGCTAAATACATATAAACCATTCTAAGATCCAAAACTAGAATAAATTGAGTATCTCTGCATGTTTTCCAACTCATCCCAGTCAGGTGTTTTCTACACTGTTGCCCCTGCACTGACTTCCATCTCTGACCGTACTCCACCCAGCCTGATGGAAAGCCAGGAGAGTCATTTGAAGTGAAGCTTATCATAGACTATTGCATGGGATGAGATAAATGACTGAATATATGATATCCTAGAAATGAAATTCACCCTGTGCAAGGGGACAGGAAATACCTTGTATAGCACCCATTAAATAACGTTTAAGTCTCATGCTGGACTTTTGAACAGGGTTGAATTTTACCACATCTCAAAAGTATGCAATATGGACTGACTAAAACTTGTCACTTATTTCAGAAAATAAAGGTACTAAAGCTGTTGCTCCAGGGACCTCCAACCTGAAGATTATCTTTTTTTTGGTTTGTAGGTGGGCTTTCGTTCTTCAGACTATTGATGGATGGAGTGCCTCCGCATATCATTGATTCGTATATGCGTGAAGTACAGGCAGACAAAACTGAAGCCAAGTGAGAGTCCGTCCACAGTGTGTCCTCCCACTGCACTGGAAGTTGGTAGCACAGTAACAGCATTTGAGTTCTTGCAATGACAGAAAAAAAACGTGCGGTTGGAGATTTTTTTCCTTTTTTTTTTTTTTTCCTTAATCCTTCTTTTGGTTTCCCTATCTGCTCTTACTGAAAAGAAAGAATGCGCATGGATTGCTTTGGGGTTGAAATGAAATGAACTGAAGACAACACACATTTTGTAATGTTCAGCTTTATTTTCTGTTTGATATTGTGTTCTGTTTTTTAATGAGGAAAGAGGAGAAACTGTGTAATAAACATGAGGTGGAAGTCAGAGTGTGTACTCGGTGGCACAAAGCATATCTTTCTCAGACTGGAAGTACACGGATTAGCCAGTAGCTGTGCAATAAGACCCTTGGAATACATACCTCTTTGATAATGTATCTTATTCACCTGGGAATTGTTTAACACCATATGGTTTTACTATAATGTAACTAATACGTATGTACTTAATGATCATTTAAGCTGAACATATCTTCCTATAGAAGTTCTGATTTCCTAAATCCAACCCATCGGTCTCTCAACTTAATTGAAATTGTTTTATTTAATGTACAATAAATATGAAGTGTTTAAGATCTACTAAGTTCTTGTTTACTATTTGTATGGGGTTTTTTTCTGTTCTCCTCTTACATATACATATTTCAACATTTAAAATATTATAAATACCAACCACAATGCCTTTGATCATTCTGAATCCACTCCCTTTCCTCAGCAATTTGTGGAGTTCTTTTTAGGTATCATATCTGAAAAGGGATTCAGATCAGAGCACTAGTGAGTTCACTGTGCAAGGCAAAAGTGCCTGAGGTAGGGTAAAACAGCTCCATTACTTCTCCAACTCTGGCATCGTCAACCTCCAAGCATTTTAGGAGTGGGGGGGATTGTCCCCAAGTCTCCAGCAAACTCTGAAGCACGTGAGACACAAGGTCACACATATTTTGGCCAGGTTGTCAATTCCCTATTGCCCTGTCATTTATTTACCAGTTCTCACTCTGGCTGTGCAGACAGGGCAGGTTATGTGCTTACTGGTTAATGATTGATCTCCAATTACAGTTTATAAAGATAAAGGTCTACTTAGACCAGTAGTACATTACAAGATGCTTATTTGATGTAAGTGCATTTTCAAGCATTCAGCAGTCAGTAATTATGCAATAATAAAGAATGTGTCACTATGAACTGCCAGAGCTGAACTGGTGTTTTTGCAGTTTAATTAGCACTTCTTTCACTCTGGGGATCTGAATGCATTTTCTCACGTTCTTCTGTGAATCTTACTCACTTCTCTCCCTCCTTTCTATCTCTGTGATGCCTTCTGTAGTGCTATCTGTACAGGGAAGCATTCTGCATTCCCAGTGATCCTGGACACCCCCTCCCACACACACACACCTGCATTTCTCTCTGCTCCTGCCAAGATCAATACCCTCCTTACACATTCATTCACACCTACACATGAAAGAAAGCAACACATCTAGTAAGACTAGAATTTAATAAAGGATTAATAATTTCTGTTTATTCTGTATGTTACCAGTGAATTGGGACTCTATCTATTTTGAAGCACAGAAGGGTGCAGGAGTGGGTCACTCTGAACAAATGCCATGGAGGTTTAAGCATTTAAGCACATGGCCCTCATTTAAGGTAGTACCAGCCTGTTACAGTCAGCACCAAAAGCTACAGTTATTGTGAGTTTGTGCTTGTCAGATGCACAAAATGTGCACCAAAAATGATGCAAACAACCATCTCCACTTCGTATGCAGTGATGTTTATAGCTCCAAGTTTGTGTCTATTTGCCTCCTCAATCTTCAAAAACACACACATAATAACCTGGAAGCCAGCATAAACCTCAGCTCCAGTAGGCACTCTGACGATGGAATTAGCTGCTCTAATTTCTACCAGATGCCAGCACTGTTAAACGACAAGCTGAGCTAAGCTACTTTTCCCCGTGTGAACATAAGCCTTATACTCAGATGTCCTCAATTCCTCCCCAGTTGCATTTCCCAGCATTTGCCATTGGCCATCCCTCAGGCTGGAGATACAGCACGCCAGCAGGAAGTGCTGGGTATCAGGCCGTGGGTGGAACTGAGATGAGTGGGCATTAATGTGCTATAAATTCATGGTCTCACCAACCACGCTGAGCGGCCAAGCCTCTGGATTAAAAATTAATTGACTTTGACAGGAATGATTGGATGGGGTGGGACAGCAAAGGGACTTCTGGTAGATCTCAAACAGGCTGCAGAGCCTTATACAGAGAGAATAATAAAAGATAAAGTTTTGATTTATGACTATTTGTTTAATGGGATTCTCCAGGGATGGTGTTTGATAAATGAAATAGTGACCAAACCTACAGACTGCAGAAAATGCTAATGAAATCTGCAGCTAATACCAGCTTAGCAGAATAAAGATGTGCCAAAGACAACAACAACTACAGGCAAAACAACATATGGAGAAATAGAAGCAGCAGAATATCATGCTGCAGAAGATGTGGCACAATGCTCTGAAGAATAAATTTCTCCAAAGTCAGTGGACTTTTCAGGTAATTAGTGAACCTGAAAGAGACATAGGAGTAACAGAGGGTAGCAAATAAAACCTGGTCATATGAGACAAAGTAACAGCAAAACACAAAAGCTCAACAATCAGTGAAACTAGTTGTAGCTTTGTGCATCAAGTTGTACTCCCTGATGGTTCATAAAATGTGAAACCAGTTTATTAAGTCTTCAGCTAGGTGCATTATTCATATTACCTGTTTGCTACGTACAGTCTCCATCAACTAGTATGTGCTGAGGTTATAGTTCATTAGCATCTTTAATAAGATATTTCTTTTCTGCACACTTACCCACATCTACCAGGAATTCAGTATTTTTGAAAGCTCTGACAGAGTGTACATAAGCCAAGGAAAATCAATACTTTGACTAAGAAAGCAGACCCAAACATGTAAACACACTTAGATACACACACACACACACAAAGATGAATCAAAGTTAATTTAAAAAAGAGGTTTATTTTTAAGGAAGTCAGAGGAAAATATTTTGTCTTCATTTGGCTTGGTCTCCTTGCCCATGGAAGGGCATTTGGCATATAAATGTTACAGTTGTATAAATACAGATCCATTCTCTAATTGCTGTATGTGGAGCTTGATACAGGCACTATAGCTACCCATTTGTATTGCAAGATTGTGGCCACTGCCAGCACACTTTTCCCTCACCAAAAACAATCTCACAAATATAGGAAGGGAAGGAGTAAAAAACCACATGTAATCTTTTAAAGCTTATTTAAATTGGGATATACTGTTTATAAGCAGGTCTTTATGAAGAGTCAGAAATTTTTAAAAATTCCTTTTATTAAAAAATGTTTTAAGCTTCCTGAACTTCTTTACAGGGGGAAAAAGAAAAGTATAATATTGCTACCTTTTACAGAGCATTGTGAAGGGACCGTTACTTTATGAAAATATTTTTTTTCATTTTATGATTCTGGAGCAAAAGGCATTCTATTTTAAGCACAGAGTGCTCACTGTCACTTGATTTTCATGTCCTGCTTTCCTGACTGACAGGTGAAGCTGCTGCTTTGCTGAAGCAGAGAGCATTTTGAAGCAAAATGTGTCCTGAATACTGAGGAAGCAGTGGAAGTCTAAACACATTGGACTTTAAATTTAATGTGCTCTTGTTCTACACTTTGTTGCTGAATATTTTTTAAATTAAAACAAACCCTTCCCAAGGCCAGTGATTAATTCAGTAGGGAATTTGTTTCTTCCTCTACTTGTGGCTTTTTACACCACTTACTTTCCCCTCCATTTTTTTTCCTAGTTTCTCTTCTTTAACTCTTGGTATTGGAGCTTGAGCAACCTCTCCATAAATACCAGCACCATTATGTTCATTGACAACAGTAATGCACAGGGTATTAAAAGAAACAGAGTTTTACCTTCTTCCAAACCCAGTGATCCCAGTGGACTGGGGATCTGTCTAGTCTGAGAATTTGTTGCATTTCCCTTTTTCTATTCTCTAGTTGGTTGCTATTCTTTCTTTATTATGTTACACATTACCTCTTCTTTTGCTACCAGTTCCTCTCTTCTATGTTTTGGCCCCTAACGACCATTGCTGTGCCATATTGTTTTTAGTGATCTATAAATTAAATTGGCTGATGAACAGCGTAGCACTTGGAATGTGAATACTGTGTCATGGGATTTCGAAACCACCCTTTAGCCTGACTCTTGTAGTAAAGAAACCTACTCAAAACAGTATTAACTTTATCAGTTGAAGTGAATCAGTTCCCTTTGAATAACAGGAAATAGTTTTGTCTGGCCAGAAAGCTGCACCCTCTGGCTCATAATGGAGTAACTTAAAAAAGAATTCCAAACTAAGATGTCATTTGGGTTTATAATACGCATTGCAGGATGTATTTTACACTTTCTACTTCATCTTTCACACAGCTACACAGGGCTCACCTTTCCTCAGCCTCCCTCAGAAACCACACACCCTTCTTTCTAGAGGTTCAGGGACACATCTAAAATCCTTCACACGACCAATTCAAATAATTTGATGTGCCACAAAATGTGTATTTGTGTAAAAGTGTATTTGTTTTGAAGCGCTTTCTCTACGCAGGTCAAGGAGGTAAATTAAGTCCTGTGCTAACACCGTGTTCGGGTGTCCCACAACACGTTAAGATCGAAACTCCCCGGGCAAACCAGACTCGTCTGCTTTGGGTGGTGGAGGGACCCTTGGCTGACACAGTGGGGCCACCTCCCTGCAGGCCCTGTCCTGCTGGCTGCAGGGAGCTCACCTGCTGCCCTTATACTTTACTCCAGCAAAAATCCTTGCCGGCCACCTCCTGCGTGGCCCCGCTGTGCCCATCATCTGCACGATGAACCGCGCGAAAGCAAAATAAGCTGAATGAGGAAAATCACAGGGGAGAGAGGGATTCGACCCACGCTGCCCGCATCCAGGAGCGGCGAGAGGTGGGCGCATCACCCCGGGGACCAGCACGGCCTGGGACTGCCCACGGTCCGGGATGGACAGATCCTGCTGGGGCACACCCCACGACGACAGAGGGCTTCCCCCGCTGCCAGGGAGATTCCCATCCCCGCACGGGGAGGCGGGGCCGTGCTCGCTGCGGGGCCGGGAGGCCGCGGCGCCCTCGGGGCGATGGAGCCTGAGGCGGGCCGGGGGTGAGGACGCTTGCCCCGCGCTAGCGGTGGCGGGGGCGGCCGCTGCCCTCCAGCCAGGCCGCTGCTGGGCGTCGGCCTCTTCCGCCGCTGCCCCCGGCCCGGCCCCGCCCCGAGCGGCGGCGGCTCCGTGACCCCGGTACCGTCCGGTGCGGCGGTGCCGGCATGGCCGTGCCCTGGGCTCTGCCCGCGCCCCTCAGCCCGGCGCAGCTGAAGCGCCTGGAGCAGCACCGCTACAGCGCGGCCGGGCGCTCGCTGCTGGAGCCGTGGCTGCAGCCGTACTGGGGCTGGCTGGTGGAGCAGGTCCCGCTGGGGCTGGCGCCCAACGCCATCACCATGGGCGGCCTCCTGCTGAACTGCCTGACGGCGCTGCCGCTCATCGCCTGCTGCCCCAGCGCCGCCGAGCAGGTACCGCCCGCCGCGGCCGCCGCCTCTCCGGCACAGCCCGACCCCTTCCCCGCCGGCCGCCCCGCGGGTCTCGGTGCCCGCTGGTGCCTCCTGGCAGCCCCCGGAGCCCCCGGGCCGTGCCCCGCGGGGTGCGGTGCCCCGTCACGGGCGGCTGCACCGGGCATCCCGTAGGAACGGGGGCTGCGGGTTCGTCCTGAGAAATCAGGGGAGCGGCGGTGCGAGGCTCCCGCTTTGGGGCAGCAGGGGCCGAGCTGGAGACAGGTGCTAAGGTTTGAGTGCCAAAACGCTGTGAAAGGACGAGGTTCAGTGAGCTCCGCTCTCCTGCCCGGCCCTTCGCTGAGCAGAGGGCCCCGCGGGGCCGGGCCTTGGGTGGGCACCGTCCTGCACTGCACGGCGTGGTTCGCGCTCCCCAGTGGGACCCCCTGGCTCCTCCACCGACCATCATATCCCGTGTGTGCCTCAGCTTGCTGGGCAGGAAAGGAAACCCTAGGGGCTCAGGAGGAACGCTGTAACACAGGGGCCCTGGGGGCAGAACCAGCTGCTGGTCAGGAGAGAGGGTGCGGGATGTGCCCAGGAGCAGGGCAGGGCTGGCTGGAGCTGGGCACGGCTCCTGCCCCTTCAGCATCGCTTGGTTCACAGCTGCGGCTCGGTGGTGTCGCAGGTGTGTTAGCTGATAGTAGCTCACATGTTTCCCTTCCTCGTGTGGGAAATATTTAATCCCTTTAACTTCTGGAGGGAAAACAGGCTTGTTAACGTGGGCTGGTGCTGCCTGCAGTTGCCTGCAGTTTCTCTGACAATTTCAGGAACTGTCAGCTTTGCAGCCTGTTACAAGTTTCCCATTGCAGTCTCTTTATGGTAGTTAGGGTAGCAAATATCAGGGGAAAGTTGTTTTAGGTAGGTAAAATACCTTGAAATGTGGTAGTTTTCCGTGTGTTCTAGTGGGTTTAAATCCTAATAGCAGAGTTTGGCTGTTGGTCGTTTTAATTTTTTTAATTACATAGATTTACTTTGGTGAGTGTTCATGTCAGAAGAACATTTCTTTTTCTCTAATTGCTTTGCCCTTTGTGCTAGCAGAGGTGTTTGTGACCGACATATCAGGAATCTGATCCAGATCAAAATTAACTTTGCTTTGGTCACTGCCCTGACATACATCACCAGGTAGAGGGACTCTGGCATTGGGTGGTAGGAGAAGGGAGAACAGAGGTAATACTGAATGGCTGGAAATGACGGATTGTCTTCTAGTGGCACTTTTGGAATTAAAATGCTTGTGGAACTGCTACCTTTAGCTTAGCTTTGTGATGAAAACATCAGTTGAGTGCCATCTAAGTGTCTGGGTGCTCATTTTAGCTTTTTTCTCTTTGGTATTCAAATATAAAAGCAGAAAGTAAACTTTTTTTTCTCTTGAGGACTCTTGTACCAAAAGAAAAAAGTTGTGTTGCAGACATCCAGGGAATTATTCCTTCCAAGAAAGCTTAGGTAGATTTTGGGAACTTTACTGGTTTTGTAGGTTTCGAGTTTTTGGGGTTTTGTTTTTTTTTAATTGTGGAAGCTGAATTTTATAAGAACTTATAGTTCGGACTACACTTTTTTCTTCAGATGTCAGTATATCCTTAAAAAATAAGTACTGTGAAGCCAGACTCATCCTGTTGTTTTGTTTGTTGCCTCTGCGCTGCTGAGAGTAGCTCTGATTTTCTCTTGCTGCATCATTTCAGAAGCATTATTCTCCTTTTTAATGACTCAGCTTATCTTCTACCTAAGTTGAGGTCACGTTTCTGGATGGCTTTTTGCAAAAGCTAAAACTGTTGCAACACTAATAGGTGCTATACGTGCTGTTGTAATATCTGCTTTGTAGTTTTGACTGGGATGTGTAGGCTGGAGGGGGTGGGTGGAACTGAAGATGACGTTGAAGATGATTGAAATCACAGAGCACTTCAACACCACTTCTCCATATGGCCTGGGCGACTCTTCCATTCATGAACAAGTCTTGAATACCTGATGGACAAACAAGAACTTGTTATATTCTCTTGGTGGAAGGGTGGGTGCACTGGATAGAAGACATGGATAAAATAACAAGCAGGTTTTGGTTTGAGTTTAGGGTTATTTTGGGAGGAGGGGCAGTGGTTCTGAGTTGGTTTGTATGGTTGTTTTTTATTCCCTAACCAGTCTTAAGTGGGCTGTTTTGGTTAGGCCTTTATTAAAATCACGGAAGTCTTGATGTTTGTACAAACTGTCCAAAACAAGTAAGACTGGTAGCTGAAAACCCTCAGAGAGTAGCTGCTGACAGATGCTTAGAAAAGACATATTTCTCCAATACACCCTTCCAGCTGCCAAGACTCTGGTTTAGCAGTTTCTTCACAGGGGGTTCTACTTGGGTTACCTGCTAGAACAGCAGCTGATGGATCTGTTTCCCCACGGACACTTTCCACCTCGTGATTTTGCCCTTTGAATTAGTTGTTGTGAACCTGTTTGTTCTTTCAGCTTCCATTATGTCCTATTGCAGTGATTTCCACAATTTCATACTGCTTACCCCAATCCTAATGCAATTAATGTCTCAAACCATACAATGCTCCCTTGTTCTCCTAATGTGGAGGCATTATTTCCCTATACACTGTTCTTTTTATCTTCATCAGCATCAGTAGCCACTAAAAGCCAATTTGTTACTGACCAACACAATATGTTTGGGATTTATAAAATATTGTCTGCTTCAGTAATGTCTTCTTGTCTAGTAGGAACATGGGTTGTTTCACTGCCTCCTGTAAATGCACGTTTCAACATAAGCCTTCTTATTTGCAGCTAAGCCATTAGCAGATTACACCCTTCAAGCACTGTTGTAACCAAAATTCATGTGTGTGTGCTTTTGTTGAGTGTTTGTCCAGTTTTCTACTCTCTGTAACTTAGGAGAGTAATCTATAAAAATAATATACAGGTGTGGTGGTGAGGAGGACACCTGCACATTTCATCTTCTGTGGAGGGCTGAAACATCTCATTCACTGTGACTGCAGCCTGGGTTGTATTTTGTTTTGGGGTTGGTTGTTTGGGTTTTTTTGACACTAATTATAAAATATTTAGGAATGAAAAGTTTTGCTGACATTAACTATGAGCTAGAGTGTAAAAAGGAGGTTTTTATCCCTACCATTTGTCAGTGAATTGTTTTGCTCCACTGCTAGGAGACTTCTCTGAAGTAGCTACAGTCAGCTTCATGTACTCCTCCCAGTGCTGGGTAAAACTGTGAAGAGAACTGTCTAGACATAATTCCCTATATTTCTAAAAGAGAGAAAGGTAATTTTGATCCTCTACTGTCATGGTTGCTCATGGAAGGGCCTAGCTTTGATAATCCTTCAAACTCAGCCACAGGTCTCTCCAAAAGCAGAGAACAGTTGAGTGGAAGAGATCTTTAGAGGCCATCCTGTCCAACCCCCCTGCCATGAGCAGGGACATCTTCAACTGGGTTGGATTGCTTAGAGTCCATCCAGCCTCATTGTAAATATTTCCAGGAATGGGGCATCCACAGCCTCTCTGGGCAACCTGTGCCAGTGTTTTACAGCCCTCATCACAAATAAAATCGTCCTTATATTTATTCTAGATCTACCTTCTTTTATAGAGTCAGAGAATCTTAGAATGGTTTGGGAAGCTGGAATTTTAGGACAGAAATGCACACTAATTACTAACAGTAATTATTACTTTGTATTGAATTTATATCTATTAAAAAAAAATCTCGTAGCTGTTACAGCAGGATCTAAGCAAAGAACTGGGAATAGATGGCATACAGGAAGACAGGAAGAGAAAAGCATGGATTATGGATATGCTGTTAGGGCAATTATAGCAAAAGGGGCTCAAGGGTTCTCATGCAGAGAGCCAAGGGAAGGAAGGGAGGCTCATGATGGCTAGCTCTGTAGAATTGTTTAAGAAACAGTGTAGTGAATTTAAAAAGGCTGTCATACCTTGCTGAAACATGCTGTTTAGAAAGCCATACATCTAGGGACACCAAAAAGCAGTGGAGGGTCTAGGTGACTCCAGCTATCTCTACCATTAACTACTTGCATGCAGAGGAACATTGGTGAGATGCTGTCTCTGCTTCTCTCTCTTTTTAAAATACTTTCTTAAAAAAACAACCAAACAAAAACCCCTCCAAACAAACAAACAAACCGCCTTTAAAACTGAAAGAGGGATTGTCTTGATGTTTTTCCTGCTAGAGGGAAAAAATGAGGGGAAGATATTAACAGGCATGATATTATGTAAACAGCAAGAGCACAACTGAGTTTTTTGGGAGAGAGAAGTAGAAGAGGTAGAACTGGAGAAGCTGGTATAAACGGCGGGGCGGCGGGGAGGGAGTGTGAAGGAGGAAGCTCCTGACTTTGTAGAGAAGTGTGAAGCACTGTGTGGAGTGGGAAATTTATCCAATACCAACCAGTGAGGAACAGAGCAATCAGTTGTAAATGGAAGATGGAGGTTATTTGGCATGAAGTAAGACCGTGAAGGTCCAGGAATCCTGACACTTGAATGAAAGGAGCTCTCTCAGAGGGAGCTTGTTGGAGAGAGGAGGATGCTAAAGGAATGCAGGGAGTCCTTGGTGTGCATGTACTTGGACTGCAGTATGATTTTTTAATTATCTTTTAAATTATTATTATTTTTTTCAACCCTGCCCTCTTCCCCTGCTGTATTTCAGGTTTGAACAGCCCCCTCCCTTCTCCTGCTATTAGTAGAGTTGCACACAGTGAAGGGGGGGAAATGATCCGTGTTTGGGGGTAAGAGGGAGGGAGTCCAGTCAAAATGTCTCTCTCTGTTCTGGATTAGTTCCAAAGAGGGGCCATGTAAACTGGGGCAAAACTATTAGCTGTGGATTGAGGAAGTGAGATTATGGCTAAATGTGATGAGTAATTAAGGGGAACTGAATCTTTGAATAATGCAAGAGCTTGGCCTGTCGAACCCTCTGGACCTGAGAGCTTTGCTTGAAACGAGTCATAAGGGATCTCCCTGACACGTGTAGTCTTCTGCAGCTTTGTGCGCTCTTTTGTGAGGAGGAATCACAGAAGCAGGAGAATGGCTGCTCTTCTACCTCCATTGTGTCTGAAGGAGAGGGCGTGTCACACATACCTGTCAAACACTACAAGCACATGGCCTATTGTTTTGACACCCTCTGGTTGAGTAGATGACCAGACCTGCTGTATCGAATCTGTGCATGACAAGAGTCTGGGGCTGTAGCAGCTGTCAGACATCCTTTTGAATTGAAGCAGAGAAGCATCTCCTCCACTCCTGGCCTTCTTCACCCAGGTTTCTGTTCTCTTCTAGTTCTGTGAGAATAGCATCTGGCTCTGGCCAAATAATATATTTGCTTGGGCAGTATATCGCTTCGGGCAGAGATAATAAACACCTCATCAGTGAAAAGCTGATGATTATTGGGAGCCTCCTGACCTTTCTGCTCAGCCTATCAGCCATGTCAGCATTCTCAAATGTTCCCACTTCTCTAATTTGCAAACTACTTGGGTCCAGCGTGGGAAGCTGTCAGGGGACATCCCTGGATGGAGAGCCAGGCATGTGAGAAGGCGGAGGAAACAGCAGCTGTAGTTGTATTGAGAGGGTGGATAGTAGAGAAAATCCACAGTTATTAGGAATTTGGAAGCCTTTGTGTACCATTGGTGATTTGGGAAACTGTTTTTTACTGATTAAAACATTAGAGCATTCATTTGATATGCTAAATGACAGTTGATCCCAAATGAATTTTGGTTATTACCACTTTGGGTTAAATTTGAACTGACAGCTTAGGGATGAAGTGCTCCAGATGGTGTTTCTAAGCTCTCTGACACCTGTTCCCCTGTTCTTAACTAGGATTTTTTTCCTTTATCCTCGACTGTGGGAATACTGATAGATCTGCTACAGGTGCTAATGGATACAGATGATCCTTACTGGGAAGAAGATGAACACTCTCCTCCTGCCTTTCCAGATCAAGGGGCAGAGTGCTTTAGTTTTGGAGTGTAGGAGGACCGTTGCTTTGATTTGCCCCAGTAGGAGCTATTGCAACAGATTTGAATCAGCAGTCTGATTCAAATATATATATTACTATAGCTTGCAACTAGACAAAAGCCACTGCTTTGTCAAAAAGACCTAATAGAAGTTTTGAGTGAAAGCTGATTTATTTGATTATTTTTTACATTTTAATGTATTACATTTGTTTTGTAGCAAGATAAATGCAGACAGTGTTACCTTGAACAAAAATCCTTGCTTCATGTTCTGTGGGTTGTGGAAACTTTAACTACAGTGACCAATATGCAAGCCCTCTGTTTTGGTTAGAACTGAGGCTGTATTTCTCATGGAGCTTGCATTTCAAAGACTGTACTGATGCTATGCATGCAGCATACAGCACTACAGCTAATGATTAAAAATTGTGCCATAACACATTTCTGTACCTGAGTGGTGTTTCGATGATGGAAGTGATCCAATTAAGTAAGAAAGTGCCCATGCTTTGGCATTTGCAGTAATTGGTGATGTGCCCCACACTGGGGTGAATGCAGTGTGAGTAAAGAATTTGGATACCATATTTAGCACTGGATACAGTCTACTTTCATCAAACCTGATAACTAAAGCAAGCTAAAATCTATTTCAGTTAGAAATATATGGCTGCAAAAGGAGGGGAGCCTAATGCAACCAAAAAGCCAGTGGTGTCCTGTGCAGAATTGCCAAGTGTGGCCTTCTTTACTTTTTAAAATCCAGGGATTAGGATGACAAGTTTTGATAGACCTCAATCATTGCATAACTGGTAGAAGTGTGTCGCAGCAGGAATACCTTGTGAAGCACTGCAGGTTATCTTAAGGAATACATAAAATCATGTTGGTCAATGTGTGCTGCAGGAGAGGAATTGCAGAAGTGGAGTGCCAGCAGCTCTCCCTTACCTGGGAGTGGGAAAGGATCCAGCCCTATGGATGTTCACTTGTTCAACCTGCAAGTTGCATTTCCAGCATTTATACCTGACTTTTCATGAAAGCTTCTAAATGCTAAGGATACCACTCGACACTACTCGAGGCAAAATGTTACCTGTGCTTTGTTCAATAGGTGTTTTAAATAATTTTTAGCAAAACCTAATTCCTAGACGAAGTCATACTGACTGTGCATGTGGAAATAATGCTTTTGAAAGGAGTGACTGCAGAACAGTTCCTCTGGACCAAAGACTGGTGTTAATGTAACTAATTCACAGCTCGTTTTGAAACTGATAGTGTAAATTAAGTAGATAGTTGCTCCTGCATATTTAGTGAATGACTTAATTTCCCTAAACCTCAGCCAAAGTGCCTATGTAGTCAATTTTTCTATGTTGGCAAAAATATCTTTCCCTAGAGGCTGAAGTCTTTATTTAGTAAAAACCATAACAGGTTTTTATATCTATATGTTGTGAATCTGAGCAAATCATCTAAGTGTCTATCACGTAAAACGCTGAGAGCTTTAGTAAGGGCTTTGCCACTGCTTTCTTTTTTAAAGATTATTCTTATTTTTATAACATTTTTCAGCACAAAGAATGCAAATAAGTAGAGAAATACAGTGGTTTTAAGGTAGAAAAATAAGCTGTTGATGCAGAAGAGAAGCTAAAGTTTTGGGGTTTTTTTAAAGTAAATAGAAAGACCTGTGTTCCATTGGTGTATCTGGAGTAGTTCATTACAGTAGTTTTTACAATTCACGTAGAAATTAGTGCAAGGTGTTTGGTTTGCCCATTAATTAACAGATAGCAAAATATAATATAGTTTTCTGCTGAACATTATTTTACCTTTCATGAAACAGATTATCAGCTAAGAAATTGGAAACTACCTAGTGACCTTTTATGTGAATCTCTTTCAGGCACCTTCTTGGGCATACATCCTGGGTGCAGTAGGACTTTTTATCTACCAGTCTCTGGATGCCATTGATGGGAAGCAAGCCAGAAGAACAAACAGTAGTTCTCCTCTAGGAGAACTCTTTGATCATGGTTGCGACTCCATTTCCACAGGTAGCCTTCACCTACTGTTACCCATCCTAGTTTGTAGAGGTTACCCCTGCTCAGAGCAGGGTCAGCATATTCCCATCTTTTAGTATAACTTCTTCATCTCCTGGTCCATGCAGCCAAGTCTGTCTCTTATCTTTGCACCCCTGACCAGTATCAGGGTAGGATATTTCAGAAGTTCCTTTGGCAGATGTTGGGTAAGATGCATTCTGGTCTTGCTTACCTTCATATACAGTGTTCTTTGAATGAGCTAGATGGTGAACAAAGAACTCCATAACAGCATGCCTAAAAATTCTTTATAAAGCCTGTGTTTTCCAGTAGGATACAGGTGATGCCTAATAAAGTATTTTAGGGACATACAAGACTGATGCTGGCATGTGAAACTAAAGATTCAACTTCAGAAGTGAGGTGCCAAAATATCGTTTTGGTAATAAGGCATCTAGCCTGGCACTTAGAAGAAGGATAATTCTGTAGAAGAATGAGTTTTAAAATAGTTGTGAGTCCTTAAGAAGCCTTGCTCAGTTTCACTTTCCATAACTTAGCAGCTGTTGGTGCCAATGCCTTATATAAAGCTAAATGGCTGAAACTAGTTGCCCTGGGAGTTAGTACGTTCTTTATGCCTCACTTCCCAGAGGAGTGCAGCTGCCAGTCTCTCTGAGCTGGGCCCTTCAGCTGAAGTTGTCGGTGTTGCAGAGAACTTGTGATGACAAGGCCAGGAGAAGGGAGAACCCCTGAAGGCCAGAAGGCAGGGCCCTCACTTGGCAGAAAAGGAGTGCTGTGTTTTGGCCTCTCCTGCCAGGACTGAGTGATTGTAAAATGCCCTGTGATTTTTAATTTTTTTTTTGGTAATTTCTCTGAATTTCAAGCAAAGAGGGTATGTAACTAACATGTTCATTTCTGCTTTTCAGTTTTTGTTGTCCTTGGATCCTGCATAGCAATCCGACTAGGAACAAATCCTGACTGGTTGTTTTTCTGTTGTTTCGTGGGACTGTTCATGTTCTATTCTGCTCACTGGCAGACATATGTATCAGGCATACTAAGGTTTGGAAAGTAAGTGGGTATCTTTAGAAGCACATGTAGCTTATTGTCTGAGGCTGCTAGCTGCTTTCAGTTTCTTCTTGATTTACTCCCTGCTTTCTCCCATCTTCTTTCTCATCTCCCTTCCACTCTCGTGTTTTACCTGGCAAGAAGTTTAAACTCTGCATAATACTGAGGACTTGTTCTTTTAGCAGCTGTTAGCTGCATACGCTTTGTTTGCATGCATTTGACTCTTCTCTGCAGATTTGTTCTCAGAACCCACACAAGCACCGTGCAGGCTCAGGCCAGAGACATCTTGTTTACATTGCAGACAAGTGCTCTGTGTAGGAGTAGGGACACACCAAGCATCTGCAGTACCTGCCTTTGTAATGTCCCAGCCACAGAACAGTTTCAGCCCCAGGGGACTCTGAAACACATACATTTTTAGAGAAATTCCCCTGCTAATGGGTTGCTCTTTCATAGACATCTTCAGTCTTCCTTGGAACAAACTCTCTGTGTCCATTGCATCCTTCAGCAAGGAGCTCCACCGAGCTATGGCAGTGCTTGAAGAATTACCCCACGTTTATGTGGGGGCCTTGCTTTTAATCTGGCTCGTCCTGGTTTGATGTCCTTTAGGTTTTCTGTTAGGTCACAGTTCTAGAGATTGCTGTGATGCTGTTTGTGACCTGATGGACGTTTCATCTGTTTCCACTGCAGCATAGGAGGAAAAGTCATGACATTCATGTAGAAGACATGATTTCAATTTAACTGCTAATAGTGTGGGGATTGCTGCACCCTCCTGCAGCTGTGGTAGTGCCTAGCCATGGCCTTTGGCTGTTTTTAAGCAATGAGCTGCAGTTTAGTGAGGAAAAGATCAGAGACTTCCACAGCAGCAAAATTGGAAATAAGTGATAGATGAAGGCTGTTCTTCTGCTAATCCCAGTCACTTTCCTAGTCACCTGTTCATAGTCCTACTTAGCTTTGGCCTGTGAGAAGCAAATCTGAGCATCCCATGGGCACACAGGCTGGTGACCAGCTAACCTTGCATACTGTTTGATGTCTGCATCGAGTGCAGGCTGTCCCTGTGATATTGCTAAGGGCTCTTTTTAGTTTGCTGATAATCCATTTTACCATGCAAACTATAATTGTTCTGCCTGCCTGCACATCCTAAATTTTTAAAGGACATCTTTTACTGTAAACAAAAATAGGTGCTTTAGAGTGATAGCTGAAATAGGTTAATTTCTGTGCTTGACTGAAGGGAGATGGACTGCAGCATGAGCTCTGGCATTTTGCAGACATGATTGCTTTTCTTTGCCTTTTGTTCTTGCATAAAGTGTGAGAATGATTTCCCCACATCAGGAAGGCACTCCTATACCACATAAAAATTTCATCATTAAAAACTCAGTGACTTCTGCTTAAACACACTGATAGTGCATAGTGCAGACAGTTCAGAATGGCCTGGTGTTCCATGCCTACTGTTTGAAGTTAAACAGACAAAACTTTTCTCCAAGGTAACTTATTTCTGGTCAGTGAAAAAAGGCCACAGTTTTCTTTAAGGCTTGCAGTTTTGTTTCTCTTAAGAACAGAGGTGTGAGCCTAACTGAAGCAAGCATTAATATAGTGTTCTAAACATGGTAATATACAATAACATGGATGGAAGCTCTCACTGATGCTGTTCCCGAATTAGCAGCACTTGATTTTAGAAATCAAATCAGAGATGAGAGATTCCTACTGCTGATGGCCAGGAAGGAGCAGAGAGCTGACTAATGTAACACTGTTAGGTTATGTGGAATACTGCACAGTGTCTGATTAAAGTCTTTGGACTCTGATTTGGGCTCTGTTGCAACCAGTAGTCTGAGCCTCTGTAAAATTGAGTATTAAACTTTGGCACATATAATAATTCAAGTTCAAGCCTCCTCCCACCACCAGCAACAACAAAGCAAATACAGATTAGAAATAGGTGTTAATGGTGCAGAGTGCAACTTGTGAACACTTGCACTTGCTCATGGACACTTTTGAATGATGTAATCAACAAGTTCAGCAATGCCTGGGTAGATGTAACACTTTATGCCTGGCAGAGAGGAAAGAGCCCACTCCCAGCACCACTGTCCCCTGACAGACTGTCATTTGACTTTGAGCCAGTTCATGAAATGGGCAGAAGATGAAAAGCCTACACCAGACTGGCAAGCTGAACTGGCTCACCTTGGAGTCTGATGAGCACTACAGCTGGTAAAGTTGGAGGAATGCAAAGGTGTAGGAAGACAAGGACTCCCCATTCTAACAGCTTTAAGCAGTGACAAGCACCTCAGCTTATTACCCAGCTGCAGTTTAAACTTTAGCTTTAAGAGTCAGTCCCATATGTTCTGCAGGCTCTATCTGTCAGGTTTTCATGATAAGCTGGCCTAAAGAAATCTCTTCTGTCCCAGCCTGCTCTTTACAGTCTCTGCTTTTATATGTTCTGCTTCCAATGGTTGATTGCATTTACCTGTGAGCTTCCCTTAAACTTTGCTTTGATACCGACATACCAACAAGTCTATAAATTTGTACAGAGTTCTCAAATAGTTAACAATGTATTTATTAAAGATTTTCCACCATTAAAATTATATGATATGCAGCTTGCTCCAGATAAGGAGTATAGCTTTAATTTTACATCTTGGCCAGAGATGTGTGCCTACACATAGAGTACCTTTCTCAGTCAAGGAAAGGAATTTATGTACATTGATGTAATTTGAAGTACAGTTACTGGGGTTTTATTCTCCCCCTTTACACTTACAGCAAAAAGTCCTTTCCTTTAACTAAATCTCTTCTTTTCCTTCATAGAATTGATGTAACTGAAGTTCAGATAGCCATAACAATGCTGCTCTTGATATCTGCATATGCAGGAACAGCAATATGGGACTACAAGGTAAGTGTGTTAACTGTTCAGAGTTCCTGTTGAGCATTCAGTTCCTGTAAGTGCTCACAGTTCCTGTGGTATTTGAAGCTGTCCTGTGCAAGTACCATCGACACCTGCTAGTTGTCTCATGTTCTGTTTTAGCTCATTGTATAAATGCAGGTTATTTTGATGTTGTAGTTACCTTAGATATAATGGTGTGACTCCCTGTGCGCAATTTAGAGCTACATAGAGGAAAAAAGACCCCATCTGCCACTTATATGAACTTCTGATCTGGAACTAATACTCTGCACATCAGCAAATAGTTTTTGTTCTGGTTTTATGTATTTTGGATATTGTAAGACATATGTTTCTTTTCAGTTAAACAATCTATTTTAAAATTTAAGGATGAAATGTTTTAATCTAATGAAACCATGGGATGAAGTCAGAGGGGTTTTGGTTAATCCATATTTGTGTTGATGCAGATACACTGATTTTTAACAGTTGTGTCACAGCCACATAAATGTAAATATCTCTATTTAAAGAATTGCTTTCTGTCTCTAACTTTTATTCTGATCTTTAGAGATGCACTTTAGTGGACAGTATCAGAAGTATATGAAACTTAAGGTCTTCATCCTTTCTAGGGTCTTTACTCAGAAATTTATAGTTCTGCTTGGCTATAGCACAAGGAAGAGCTGAAACCATTTTATACTATTGATAACCAATACAAATGAACCTAAATATAAACCACCAAGAAATTAAAATAAATTCATAAGTTTACTCAGCAGTTAAGAAATGCTTAGCTAAAGTTTTTCCCCATACTGCAAGATATTTTTTGTTTGTTTTCAAAAAGCTTATTTTCATGTTGGAAAATAAAGTAGGTGCATTAGACTTTAATTATGATTGATTTTTTTTTTCCCCTTCACTATTAAAATCTGTTGTAGTTATGCTGTATCTCAAAACACTCTATATTAAAAAATATAGTCAATGGTTTCAATTTATTACTACTTTTTTTTTTAATCCTCTGCTGCCTTTGGAAGGTTCCTTGAAACTGCAATTGATTCCAAAAGGTAATTCTTTAATTAAAATTTGTATCTGGAGACTATTCAGGATAGTCTCATGATATGCAAAGATACAGCATACAAATAACGTACCAAAACACACAGCAGGCAGATGGTGTTTGTGTTTCCTGCGGTGCAGTGTTGTGTTATCCAGTGAAATAGAAGGAACTCTCCTCTTTCCCCCTCCCATACCATGGTGATGCAGTAGTCTGTGTCAAGTTTTTGCTTATGTAGTAAAAATGTTTGAAGAACATAGTAAGGACGAACAGAGTAAGATCTCCTGAATCTCAAGAACAGAAGTGAAGTACTCAAAAGTTGAGTTTAAACATTACAAAAGATATTTGTTGTTTCCTTAGTAAGGAAACGAATTCCAAGCACTGTTGTCCTGATCTTCTTCCTGGGAAAGCAAGAGTTGAAATAAAATGTTTGTTTAGTAGGTGTGAGTGGCTTCTGTAATCTCTTTTTAATAAAGGTGTTGTGTTTAACCTCTGATATCTTTCTCTTGTCTTGTTGTGGTTTTTTTGGTTTTGTTTTTCTATGTTCTGCTAAGGTCCCTTTGGTGGGCTTAGAACTGAAGTTCTTTGCAGTTATTGGCATCCTGTGTGGAACAGCACTTTCTTTTTTCAATTATTTCCGTGTCATCTTTGGTGGAGGGGTTGGAAAGAATGGATCTACAATAGCAGTAAGTTGCTCTAAAAATCAGAATGATGTTTGAATAATTTATGCCCATAATTTCTTGCATTTCAGATGATCATAAGGGTTTTATTTGTTTGAGCGTTTAAGCAGACAGGCATATGAGTGCTGGGTGGCTAAAGCAAAGACTTCATTATTTACCTTCTCTCTGCCTGTTACTGGATTTCTTCTGTCGTGGGAACCAGCAGTGAATTTTCTTACAAAATTAATTCGTGGTCACTGCAGAGGATTCCAATAGCATTCCAATGGCCTAATGCTGATGGACATTCCTGAGTTTTGGCAACTCTGGTTTTGTTTAATGGGATTTGCAATATTTATAAAATCTGGATGTTACTGTGTGACTGAAGTCTAAGACAAATTTTCTGTCCATTTACATTTCAGGGAACAAGTGTTCTTTCACCAGGCCTGCACATTGGACTACTTATCACAATGGCCATTATGATTTATAAAAAGTCTACAACTCAGCTGTTTGAAAAACACGCTTGCCTGTATGTCATAACATTTGGGATTGTGAATGCCAAAATCTCACAGAAGTTGGTGGTAAGGATTTTTCTTTCACTCCTAAACCTCCTAAAACTAAACTGGTTCTTGGCTTAACACTTGTTGGATCAGCAGGCATCATGCAGGTTTTCCCATTCTGCTCTGCCACTGTATTACCAGTTTCATTATGACCCAGACACTGAACTATACTCAGGGTCCTACAGAGAAATTCTATATGATACTGCTGCAAATGCATACTTCCTGTTGAATGTATTGGTTGGAACTTTCAGTTTTGTTTAACTTACTCCGAGAAAAATACTCTCAATTTACTCCTAGAAATATACTGTCTATCATTTAATATCCTAACTCTGGTCCCTCAATCCTTACTAACAGTGCTGTGACTTCTGATTTAGTTATCTGAAATAGGAATTTACTTTATTCATTAAAACAATGAGAGAAACTTTCCTGTCTTTTTTTATACATATAAACCTTATCAGTGGATTAAAAAAAATAAAAATCTGCCTTGCTATATATTTGCTAATAACAGCAATCCAACCAGCTCATTTTTTTCTTCTGGCATGACATTTTTCAAACACTAGAAAACAGGTATTGGACAGACTTTCTGGCTAAACAGGTGTTCACCTAGTGAGCTACTACCTGTTCAAGAGAGAGAATGCTGATACGAACACTGAGCCTTAAGACTGAACTTGAAGCAGTTCTGTCAAACAGATGAACTGCCCTGTTTGTTCTTTGCTCATTCAGAGGAGCCATTTTTAAGCTTCCTGGTATGGATTCTTCATATGTCTTTTATTAAGTCACCAAGTTTTTAAAAAGAACTCTTAGTTAGAGGTGACCTCAAGTTGTCTCTAAGAGTGCTAAATATGGAAGGAACAAGGGCTGTGTGGGGAGAACAGATTTCTTCCCTTCACCCCCAGTAATGTTCTCTTGGTCAGTCTGTAAAGTGTATCTGAGCATACACTGTCTTTACTAAACAGTGAGAACAAGTCTTGTTACCTAAGCAAAAGCCTGCTTCCTAGTTAGCTTTTGGCTAGGAAAAGCCAAAATTTTCAAGTTATACCTGAAAACAACATTTCAAGTGGATGGTATTTGTTTTCAGTAATACACTTGCATAGTCTTACCTTTTGAATACAACACTGAAAAATTAAAGATTTGGAAACCCCTGCAGGTAGCTGTACAGTGGTACAGATTAACTTAGAAGAGAACATTGCTGGGCAAGGAGGTCATGCATGTTTGCTTTTATTTTTTACATAGGTGGCTCACATGACAAAAAGTGAAATCTCTCTTCAGGACTCTGCATTTATTGGGCCAGGACTTCTGTTTTTGGACCAGTACTTCAACAGTTTTATTGATGAATATATTGTTCTATGGATAGCATTGGTAAGTGTTTTATACTTCTAATTTGGACCATAGCTAAAGGAATGGATTGAGAATTGTCCCTGTAATTCTGCTCTGCCATTTCTGACCTGCTCCCATTTCAGCTGCCGCTGTGGAGGGAGTGCCAGGGTACCATGTAAACATGTATTTTGGGAGCTGACTGGCTTTCTTTCCTTGGAAGAGATGTGAAAGTAAATTTACAGAATCTCTCTTGTAATTATGATTTAGCCCATGTGGGTTTAAATTGTTCTGTGAACTGCAGACTAACCTTTGTTTATCGGATTTTTTAAGTGCTTAGTGCTGTTGGGGTGTCGGGGTTTTGGGGTGGTTTTGGTTTTTTTTAAACTAGACCACTCTGTAGCTATATGTTAAAACGATTGTTATACTTGTCACGTGGATAGATCCTTATTAAAGTATAACATATTTATAGTAGGGACAACTGAAAAAAAAGTTGGATTTTGTTTTAACCTGTTCTGTTTTGCTCTTTTGAAGTTCATATCCTTGTTTGATATGCTGAGATATGCCACTGGTGTGTGCCTACAGATTGCTGCTCATCTTCATATACATGTCTTCAGAATTTCATCTCATCAAGCTCCTGAACAGGTTCAAAACCATAATGACTGATTAAATAGGTCAAGGACAAGAGAAGAAGCAGTTAGGGGAATGTTGAATGAAGCAGCCCCTCTGTTTTTGGGAAGACAGATTAAGCTCTTGAAGAAAAGTTTTATGAGAAAGTTCACCGTATCCCAGACATTACCAGATGTTAGAATTAGTAGATAACAAAGTTCTGCAGATGCTATTGTGATCAATACTTTTGAACCAGCATGTATTTCAGACCTTCAATACCACATTTGAAAATGTTGCCCTTTCCTGTTAGGTAACTTTAATTTTGTACTTCTGTTTTGGTGAATGTAGGCTGCAAACCAAGGTGCTACCAACCAGAATTTAAAGAGGAATTTCACGTTTGCCTAGACTAAGTGACTAATATATTGTAGCATTAGTTTCTAAAGTTTTCGTGGAAGTGCTCTGAAGTGGTAGTCAGGTGTACCAATTAAATACAGCACTGCAGCATTAAGACTGGTAAAATGAGGCAGCCATGAGGTAAAACCACTCAATCTCTCTTCTGGTATTTCTAAGGAACAAGCTGCTGGATCAGTAGATGAAGGAGGTACAGCTCAGGAAAATTTTATTCTACTTCAGAGTACTGTTATGAGTGCCTTTAGGATTCGTTCATTCTCAAGTATCCAAGCACATAACTTACTGCTACCAGATAAAACTGGAGCTTGTACTTTCTTTCAAGGCCAGTTTCTGGTTTTGTAGTCATAACAAGATTTGTTTCATTACACTTCATCATTATCTGGACTAGAGGGAGCTGTGTAATTCAAGGATACTGACTTTAGTTACCCTGATGTGTATCTGTGAAACTGTGCAAGCAAATGACAGAGGTCATTAAATGACTGCAGCTCTAGCAATGTAACCCACCTATGTGTATTTCCCTATATGGTTATTTTTGCTATTGCTGTGTTTATCTTCCTTATAATTGATCGAATTGTCTTGTAGCTACCACTGTACTTTATCCAAACAAAACAGCACAAAACTAAACCATAATGTAAAATCCAAACCAGGAAGTCAGGCCCACTCTCAGCCTGTCTCTTTAAGACCAGACCCATTGGCTAATACGATGTGCATAACTACAGGGCTATTGTCATTGGAGAAAAGTAGCTTATTTGTATGAATAAATCAGGACTTGCACACAAACCCTTTAAACTTAAGCTCCTTTAAAGAGGTACTTTTGAATATGATTTATGTAAAAAGTTGTTGAATGTAAGGGTCCATTACTACTTTCAGTTGTTGTACCTGAGCTTTGAGTTCATGAAGTCCTTCCTGAACTGTTCAATAAACAATGCTGTGGTTTGTTTTAAAAATTCTACCCCTGCAGCTTCCAGGCTTCATGTTAATTCAGAAAGACTTCCTGAGGTGTTCAAGGAACTTCAGTAGTGGTACATTGTGTGCTAATCTGGAGGGAATAAAATAACATCTACCACACTAATAAGAATTTAGTGATACTCTTGAGGGATAGCTGTAACAGTTACTGCCAAAGGACTAGAACTCTTAAGTGACTCGTATCAATTCCACATGAATCCTACTACTTACTACTCCTGTTTGAGACTGGGAAAGACACAGCATCTACACATGAACTTAGCCTGAACCCAGGCCATGGGCAAATAGGAAAGAATACTGTAAACAACCACCTGATGAAAAGACATGGGCACCTTTGGTTCCCCACAATGGGTAAAACTATTTCATGTCATAGTAGGCATAAGTAATTTTAAGGATACGATTGAGGCAGGTGGATGATTGGAAACTAATGCAGAAATCAGTCAGAAAACAAGAAACGTGAGTCAATACTAACAAATAAAACCAGAAACAGGAGGTAATACTAACAAATAACCTCCTGTTGAAGATAGGAAGCAAAACCTGTTACCTGTTTCATAGCATCTAATTGTCCTTAGAGGGCTGAGGCACTCAGCAGCACAGTTATAAATCCTCCTAGACAGTGGTACCCACCAGAGGCCCATATTGCCTTGTGCATCATTGTAACAATGTAACTTCTATAATTGTGCCTGCCCTGAATCCTAGCAGAGGCAGAACAAGGAGTTCCATACTGGTTTCTTATTCAACTTCAGTTTGCAACCTCGTAGCTGAGTTTCCATAGGTTACTTTAATCTGACTTCCAGAACTGAAGAACCAGCAAATGACTTGATACCAAACTAAAAATGCCAGTAAGCTGAGGAGAAGAATATGGTTTTGAAATATATTGTTATGAAAACATCACATTTGTGTGTGTGTGTGGATGGTTTTTGTTTTATCTACTGTGGTATGAAATCGAAGCATTAAATGTGTTAGCAACTACCTAATTTGTGAAAGTGGATATTCAGGTATAATGGTTTTCTGTAGAAACAAACTACATGCACACTAAGCCAATTTTTAAATTTATTTATTGCAATGAGATACATGAAAGATAAATGCTTTACCCTTAAAACTCAGGCCTCCCTAAATTGCTAGTCATTTGGGGTTGCAAAAAGTAATATTCCATCTCAAAGGCTTGTAATAGCTTGTACTAAGTAAATGAGGTAAATCTACCCCATCTTCTTGCAGTGGCTCTACGAGAAGTATATATCCCAAAATGCATAATGTTCAGTTATGCTTACTGGAGCTGATACATGAAGCTCTTCATTCAACTAAAAAAACTCCAACGTTTTCTGGACAAATTACAGCAGTTCTTAAATCTCTTTCTAATACAAGGATATTACAAAACCTAGCATAACAAAAGAGTTAACAGAATGTACTTTGTTTTCCTGTAATACATCATTAAACAATCTTACATGAGCTATGTCATACCCCATGAACTTATAACTGCTGATATGTCAGCTTACTGAATGCTGAAACTACAGAAATCTACATCTTGTGAAAAATGCTTCTATTTGCACAATTTACCTAAAGGCCTAAGGTTAATATGTACAATCTGACTAAAGCATTTTTCATTAATTTTGGCCATTGTTACAATTTGCCATTAGAAAAAGCAAAACAATTTCAACAGTTCAGTGCTATTGAAAGTGAATATTAGGTAGTTAAAAATTAATAGTAAATGGTTTGGGGTTCACACTGCCCCCCCCATTAATAAAATTTACTAATCTATGTGCTTACAACATTATCAGATACAAGATCAGAACAATCCATGAAAGCCTTTAAGAGGAACCTTAAAACATTTATATCTTAACATCCTTCTCTGTGGCTAATGCCTGTACTTGTGTCATGTTACTTAGGTACAACTTGTTTCTCCACTGAGCCATCAGAATAACATGGACTGAAGAGACTTGCGAACAGTTGCCATCTCCTGCTGTTGCTGTGACGAGAAAAGGAGATAATACTGAACAAATGCCGTATCAATATGAGTCCTTTGAATTAAATGAATGTCAAATGACTTTCAATAGAATGTTCTATTTTTGCATTTAACTGGCTTCACAGATCTGATACTTACGGTGTCCATCATAATCTTCTTCTGCAACATAGCCATTTCTTTGCGGAGTTCATTTTGGGCACCCGCCAGAAGATTTTCATTGCTCTTCTCCAGCTCGTCCATGCTCTGAAGTTAAGGAGAATCTTAATTCAGAACTCTTCAGTGTCAAAGTGTTCATTTAAAACAAGCAAACAAACCAATCATTGATTTTTTTACTATAATTTAATTTTTAAAGTATTCACTGATAATTGATTAGTTTTGTCACAAACTTGACAGAGGAATCATACAGGACTTCATACTCCAGACTACATTCCTATTTAAATACTGTGGACCCTGTGAAGGAAACGGTATCCTCCAGACAGCTTCTGTGAGGTCTTAGCTAGTTATTCTGCATTTTAATTAAGAATTCCACAAGAAGAACTTGAACAGACATCTGTCAGGAATGCTAGGGGTTCAATATTATGGCAACCTTGAGGGACTTGAAGTAGGGACTATAAAACCCATTACATGTCTTTGCACACTTCTCCCCAAATAAAACTCACTGATTATTTTCCCTTTTGTACCTACAATTATGCCTACCTCTGTGTATGTGTCTAGTTGCATTTTCTTTAACTTACATTTACGTAAACATATTTGAGGCTTGACTTTTGATCTTCTTTGAGGAGAAAAATCAAAGTAATACTTGACCTTCTGTTCAGTATTTCCTCTTTGATGAAGACATTTTTGGCATTTTGGAATAGTTATTAATGCTTCTGTAATATCCTTTATAATTTTTTACTATCTTAAACTAAGAGTTGCACTATTTCAGATTTACTTTCCTAAACTCCCAGACTTGGAAAAAAACCCACAACACCAAACCAACCAAACCAAATACCAAGCTTATTGTAACTAACTGAAATTTCAAAATGGGACCAGTTAGAAAATGACTTGAACAGAAATTAAAGTTTGTCAGAAACTGACAGACTTGAATCCACTCCATATACTGGGGCCATGCAGCTGGAAAGCAGCTTGGCAGAAAAGAACCTGGGGGTCCTGGGGGATACCAAATGGAACATGAGCCAGCAATGTGCCCTTGCAGCAAGGCAACCAACAGTTTCCTAGGCTGCATTAGGAAAAGTGTTGCCAGCAGGTCGAGGAAGGTGATCTTTCCACTCAGCACTGGTGAGGCCACACCTGGAGTGCTGGGTCCAGTTCCAGACTCCTCAGTACAAGGGAGACATGTACATACAGGATAGAGCTCAAAGGGCCATGAAGATGATTAAGGGACAGAAGTATTTCTCATGTGAGAAAAGTCTGAAAGAGATGGGACTCTTAAGCCTGGGAAAGAGAAAGGAAGGGGAATCTTATCCATATACATAGTGCCTGAAGGGGAGAATGCAAAGAAGATAGAGCCAGGCTCTTGAGGTGCCCAGTGACAGGACCAGGAGTGACAGACAAACTGAAAACAAAGGAAGTTCCCTCTCAACATCAAGAAACACTTTCCTGTGAGGGTGACTGAGCACTGGAATAGCCTGCCCCAAGAGGCTGTGGAGTCCCCATCCTTGGAGATACTCAAAAGCCATTTGGAAGTAAGTCCCAAGCAACAACTCTAGGCAGCCCTGCTGTACTGCCTGCTGGCAAGACCAGATGTCCTCCAGAGGTCCCTTCCAACCTCAGTGATTCTACGGTGCTGTGCCTCTGCATTCATTACAAAATCAATCATTTAGGGTATTTTCATTTTTCTCACAGTTTAATTCTCATATACCTTAGAAAAAGTGGGTGAAGGACATTCTGTGAATGAAGTGCTTTGTTTTGGTGTACAATGAAAGGGGAAAACGTTAACTAAAAAGTAAACTTTTTGTGTAGTTATACTCAAAATATTTTTTTGCTTGCGGAGCCCCTGGTGGTCTAGTGGTAAAGGTGCCGCGCTATCACCGCAGAGACCTGGGTTCGATTCCCGGTCAGGGCCACTCCCGGGCAGGTGGGGCTCGTTAGCCCTTAAAGGCAACCCACCTACGTCCTAAGGACCTCACTGCCACCGTCCAAGCTCGCTTGGCCCCGGCAGATGAACCTTAGGATTAAAGGGTGGGCTCAGTTCCGCGCACACTGTGTCTCACCTAAAAAATCCAATGCGCAGGCTGGAAGGTGGAAAGACCTTCCCCGGATCTTCGCTCGCGAAGACTGGCCATTTTTTTGCTTGCTGTCTAGTATGTAGCTACTTTGTTACAAAAATACCAAATAATTTAAAAATCTAAATTACTAGAGCTTTCTTAAGTGATATGATAAGAGTCAGCTGCCTCCCAAGGAAAAAATTTACCTTCAAGAACTGCTCGTAGAGTTGCTTAATGGTTTTCAGTCTCTGACTTTGAACTATTCTTGCCTGTTGAAAAACTTTTTGTTGCTGACGAAGCATATTCTGAAATAGAAGAAAAAGGAAAACATAGTTGCAATAGTTGTTAACCAAAGCACTTTGACAGCACACCAATGTCATTTTCCAGAATCAGAGATTCTCTGCCTTCACTGGAAAGTCTGTGCCTTGTAGGTTTCTGCCCAGAGAGTTACCCTTACTCTTAGTAATTAAAGTAAGGTGAACACTGGATTAAGCCTGAGTCACCTCCTAAGGTCCCTTCCAACCTGAATTATCCTTGTAAAATCCTATGAGGATTGCTATCCCCTGCAGCTCCTTAATGTGCTGCCTAAATGTGCTGCCTGGGGAAAAACAAAACTTGCAAATGTGTTGGAAGTACAAATACAGCAACATCACTTTATTACATTCCATTGTATGGTTCCTATCCCCTTACAATTATCAAATTCTCTTACATTTACTACATACAAGCATATTTTTAAGAAAACTACTTTTAAGAAAACTACTTTCCATTATTCCTTTGTTGCCTGAACTGAAAGACTATGGATGCACAGAAACAGCACACATCTTTCTTCACAATAAATGGTCTTGGTTCTTCTCAAGCCATATGCTGCCCTAGGGCATCACTTAGGGCCATTTATAAACTTGCAGTAAAGTTTATAAATGCAACCCTCTTTGTAAGACATAATCATATATTTGTTTAAACTACATAAAGTCTTTTCACATTTCTTGAGTCGCTAAACAAGGGTATTCCCTCCTTGTGAAAACACAGTGAAACTCATGCCATGCCGGAAACCCACCGCTAGTTTTTCTTCCTGCTCCTCTGCTTTTTGCAAATCTACATCCCATTGCTGGAATAAAGTCAGGAACTGCTGGGAGAACTCATGATTGAGCTTCTGCCTAGAAACAGACACTATCTGTAAGTATGACAAATGCTATAAAGAATTACAAGGAAACCTAAGGTTCAACTTACACATGGAGTAGGATAAAAGCTGACATAGATAAAGAAACAGGATATTTAGACATCTGACCCTCACTGAATAGTGTGTGTTTTGAAAAACTGAACATACATAGGCACATACTTTAGGTGAATGTAAATTATATATATATTTATAAGGAGACAGCACTCACATACAAAACTCAGGTTAAAAAGAAATACAACTTTTCTTCCTAACAGTGTCAGGTTTTCTGAGGTTTACCAAGTCCTTCTAACCCAATTACAGATCTTTGTTTTAACTTAAGGGGTTTTTAATGCAAGGTTGATCAGCTAATGAATGCTCATTCATTAGTTTACGATGTTCTTTCTCTGTGTAAATTTAAATTTTGTCCATAGAAGTTTCAGATAAATATATATACATATAAATGTAGAACAACACTAAGTTTTAAATATTGCTGACTTTCAGTTTTTAGCTGTCTCATTTTTCAGTTTGCTCTACCTGTAGTATCAGATGTAGTAATTAAATATGTGTTAAGAAGGGAGAGGAATATTATGTAGGGTGAAAATTATTTTCTTTCTTAACCTGAATAGCATTAAAGTTTTACTGAACATTTTTTCAAGTTTTCAAGTAGAAACAGAAAATTCCAAAGTGGAAAACACTCCCACGTTGTTCTAAAAGACATCAAAGGTCACTCTCCGTAAAAATAAAACCAGCTCTTTAACGTACCTTGCTCTCAGAATTCCAGTTCTTAAGTTTCTCTATTCAAAAGAGAATATGCTAAACTCTTACTGTCAGTTTTTTGCAAAGTGGACACAACTGAAGGCAGCAGAGACCCTGAGCAGATATTGAACTACTAGGTACAGTACTTGCCATTTAATTGCAAGAAGATGGATCAGTTATCATTGCTGTGACTCAAAAGGGAATCTGGTTCCACAGGTTTGAAAACCAAGGGTAAATGTTACCTTTGCTCCTGCTGCGTTTTCCAAACATGCTCAATCTTCTGGTTGCTGGTTTTGAGTGAGGCTTTTGTATACATTTCTAATCTTTTCCTCTTAGCTAAGAGAGCCTTGTTAATGTCAGCTAAAAGTCAAAGAATATTTAGAAATAAGGCATAGTGGATACATTGTGCCATTTATTAAAAATGCTGCGAAGCAAATGAGGTGTGTTCTAAGGGAAGGAAGCCGGTGTGATCTGGGCTGTCCCTCAACTGCTGTTGCCCAGCCCCACAATAAATGTGGCATCTCCTTCGAGTCCCACCTCTCTCAGATGCCCGACCAAATACGACCCGCTGTGATGTGACTCAGCTGTAGCTGCTTTGATTCTCTCAGGCCAGTGGTAGGTCCAGTGTCAGACTGGCTTTGAACTGACAAACACAGTGAACTGAAACTCCAGTGGCTTGAACTCAGGGGAGCTGCCTCTCTGTACACTGAGAGTGGGGCCTTACACGCTGTCATCCTGTGCTTCCCTACAGATTATTGTGGTCCGACATGGTCTCACCTGTGCAGTAACTACACACGCATTCTCACAACACTGGAAGCGTTACTCAGTCAATTCACACCCTGTAGGCACGTTGTATTTGGACATATCACAGCCTATAAATTTTCCATTCAAAGCTAGAGATACCTTGCACAAACTTCCTCTTTTCTCTAGTATCTCATGATATTTTAGTAACATTATCAAAATCTTCATGAGTTTAGCTGCATGACTGTGGTGCTAGCTCAGAGTTTCCAGACTTTCAAGGAATTTAGTTATGCTGACACTTTAATTATATTTTTCCTAGAAAAACCACACCTGTTTCAGAGTAATATTCAAATTACTTGGATTTCAGAAATAAATTAAAGGTAGTATGTGGTTACTATCACTGTGAACATAGGTAATGAACAACAAACTATTTTTCATACTTCAGAGACAGTGCTTTTTAATACTTAATATAAATTAGTGGGTTTCACCTTAATTTACATTTGGAGACTTAACAAGTCATAGTTTAAGGTTAATTTCTTTTCCTTCTCACTATAGAATTCAGGAAAACACCTGCCAAACCTCTCTAATTTGCTGAGGCATCTGCCCCTGCTAATACCAAACATACTGTTCTGTGCAGACATCATCCTCTCTCTGATCCATCCATCCATCCATCCATCCACCCATCCTTCCTTTCCTTCCTTTTTTAAGTCTTAAGTTACAAGCAATCATAAGTTTTAACATCCTCCTCTTATCTAAATTGCCAGACCTACAATAGCATTCTATTATGTAATACAAAATATGTCATTTTGTGACAGCAAAAAGTCTT